CGTTGGTTACAGTGTTTTATGGACCACTGCGGAACATCTATGATGACAGCGAGATGTTTATCGGTTCCACGGAGAAATATAGCCAGTTATTATGTCTTTACCTTTGTGAGCTGCATTCAGTTCTTCACACACTCAGAACAAGGCCTTTGAGCTCTTTTTGACTCCATTAATTAGGTAGCTAGCCTTCATTCCTGATTTCTTTGCAGTGGCTGAAAATAGACAGTTGTCTCTTCACACCCGACTAAAGTTAATTAATTTTCTTTCTTCTCAGATATTTTTTTTGTCAAAAAGAATCTCACAGCAGCGCTTTATGTTGCACAGGTGCAGAAATGTACAACATACACACTAATTTCCACGCCAGTTTTCGCTCCTGCAAACAAATAGGAATCTGTCCATTTTTATTACAAAAACACAGCAAGCTGTGTCCACTCTTCTCCTCCTTTCAATAACATCTCCACTGAGGCTCCTGTGTAAAACTGTCAGCTCATGAAGATGAAAAGTACAGTCCCATCCAGTATGAAGACAGGATTAGCGCCTCATTGGTCCACGTAGAAAATAAAAGCTGTCCGGCCACCTTTCAGAGGCTGTAGGTAGTCCATGGATACCAAATGGACTCTCTGGCAAAGGAGAACCTCTTGTATTGAAGTAAATGGTGACTTTTCTTCCCTTAAAATGTTCAAGGTTTCACATTATCTGCAACTCCATCTGCTCGACTACCGGGACACGTTTCACAGTTTGGCTCTGCCCTGGTATCATAGAAGCCCGCTGTGCATTCCTATTGGGATATTTCAAATAGTTTTTTTCACGTTCGGCATTTTTGTTGAGAAAAGACATCCCGCTTTGTGTAGGTTAGCTCATCTGGTGTTGTTGTTTCCCGCTGCAAAGTGGATTTGAGGATGTACAGATAGGTAAAAGTGAGGAGAATGCTGCGGGAAGATAACAGTGAGAAGCAGGTTGTGCGCCACCGTTGTGAGACAGAGCGGTGTTCGGGATCGTAATGACACAGGAAATGCAAGCCCAAACTGTGGAAAGACTGTGTGGCGAAGCCGAAAAAGAAAGAGAAAAGATTAAGAGACACGCGCGCAGATATCGATATCTGGTTGACATCAGTGTACTCGGAGAGATGCTAAGGTTCAGAGTCCTTGCCCCCCTCCCGCTCCTCACCACAGCCCTTGTCAAGCCAGCCTTCTTCTTCTCTTAATCCCCTCCCCCATCTCTCCCCGGGTAAGCCAATCTACACAATTGTTACACACGGACTCACACATTCGGCTTTGCTACCCGTCTCCCCTCAAAATGGGCTCCTTTTGCAATCTCCTGCGCATCAGCTGCCAAATGAAGTTCCTCTTAAGGAAAAAAAAAGAAAGAAAAGGAACGTCTGTCGAATGGCACGCGGGCCCGGCGGCGGAGGCAGCCCTTGTGCTGAAGCCAATAATCCGGCATCAGAGCTTCAGGTGCGCAGAGGGCGGTGATTGACAGGACTCGATATGAGGCCCTCGCCTCACTTGACATTTGGGTTTCATAAGGTCTGGAACAAAAGGCACGGGGCAAAATAATCAGAGAGGGGCGCAGGCAAATAAATCTGTTTATTCCTCCTCACCTGCCCCCCCTCACCTCTGCACCTCCTGTGCTCGTCCACATCATGCCTCAAAGCCTAGAGGGAAAAAAAGGAAGGGCGCAATATTACCTTTTCACAGCCTTAGTGGATTCGCGCGGCACAACAGCGGGTCACTTTAGGCCCCGTGCTTACCTGAGATATTAGTTTGTATGTGCGCTGGATGGAGGTGTGTATTTGAATGGCCCTGGCCAGCGTGCATGTGTGTACAACGCTTTGAATGTAGGAGAGACTGGCAGAAAGGACAGAGAAGATAGAGGCAGAGCGAGGAGGGAGGACTTGTATATCTGGGTACGCGTAAAAGGAAAAACATAAAAGGAAGAAAGCATGTAACATCTGTAGGAGTCGTCCCCTTTTTTTTAAGACAGGTGCACACGGCAGATCTAATCTAATTCTGAACAGCTCTAATTAGAGATGATAGATTAAGTAAATGAAAGAAAACGTGATAGATTATCAACTTTATTCTTTTTTTCCGTCAGTCACTTAGATCTGCTAAATGATTCATTTAGAGATCCTATGTTTAAAAGAACTGCTGAGCCAGCAACAGAGAGTTTCATCCTCCCTCACTAAAGATATACTAAAAGCCACAAATGCCGGTGGACACACTATATACACTCATTCCCTCAGCGTAAATGCTGGAAGCCGTAAGAGTCCAAGTTGTATTATTTCCTTACTCAGCAGGCTTAATTAGATTCTTGCACTTAAAGGGTAACACACAGGAAATTGTGATTTTTATTCTTGTTTTTTGTCCATTTGAGTCATTTTTACATAGATGGCTTTTTGTGTGCATGAGCATACAGAATACATAAAGTGAATTTAGACAGCTCACAATGTCGATTAAAAAAAAAATTGGTATTGTGTATTCAGGTTTTTTGCTTGAAAATGACCCTAACAGTTACTTCATCTTTTTGAACTCCATCTCATTTCAAAGGGAAATCTGATTTTTTTTTTTTAACCCTATATTTTCTTTCTGAGACCGTTTTAAAATCAAGGCTTCAGGTGAACCCAGTACAGTACAGTTGACAACTTTGGGAAACTGAAGTTGCACAACAACAACAGTATTTTTGCGGCCTAATCTCTTCAGTCTATCAGTTACCGTTATTGGATTTGTTACCGTGGCTCACAGTGCATATGTCACACAACAACTTTTGCACTTTAGATTCTGCGCTGAAATCATCACCAACAAAGCCAGCATACTGCCAAACAAAGCCAGATACAGCAGACCATCGGCAGACCCACACAATAGTGAATAAAAGCAACTGGTATCTTTGAAAAATTAAATCAAATTATAATGATTGTTCATTGAAATACTACCGATTTGAAAGACAGTTTAACATGGAAATGTTTTAGCTTGACAAAAATCGCACTAAGTCCAATTTTTTGGTGGGTGCTCATAAACAATGCAGCTGGAGGATGACGCTCTCCTACATTTTTACCCTGAGTGTGGCTCACACTGGCCCGAGCAGCTTGCGTTCCACAGTCATTACCTCAGGCTTTGACCTGGAATTAACGGAAGAAGAACCAAATATCCACTGAGGATGGACTTAGCCTCATTTATCTAAAGACCAAAGACCAAAAACAAAAGGAAAAAGAAAAACATAACGCACAGCAACAAACGTTGCGTGGAGCAAATTGGTTCTGATTTGGTTGTAGCCGAATCATTTCACAGGTGTTTTGATCTGTAACGTAACAGGCCAAGCAAAAGTTCAATAATTACATGCTGAAGGGAGCATATCGCCACCGTCTGTTGCAGTGACAGTAAGACATTAGACAATAAATCGATTGCTTGTACACTCGCACAAGGAGAGGAGTCTAAATAAATAACCCAGCTGAGCTACTAGTGTAAACTGATGTATAGCAGTGAATGAAAATCCAACATTTCCACCTTCCAGAGAGGTAAGCAAGTGTGTTACGGCCGCAACATATTGTACAAGCAGCTGAATGGATAAATTAGACTGTTGTCTCGGAACTCTAAACCCATTTAGCTAAAAGTTAAAACGTCCACAGGTAATGCTTGACACAATCTCATTTGTGAACTGAAGGGTCATCATGAGGATAGAGGACGGGCAGCATGGAGTCCAAACATTTCCCAAAGCCTTTCAACCTGTTATTGTAACCTGCTCTGTGGGGAATCATTACTCATTATTATTCCAATCTTTTATTTCTCTTAACTGTACAGCAAAAAAAAGGAGAAACATTAAGAGGAGCTAATTAGCATGCAACTCGTGACAATCTGCCATTTCAGCTCTAATAATAATTCTTACACGCTCATGTTACTTTGGCTCCCCTCTGGATGATTGACATCTTCCGCATGCGGGTTTAAGTGCCAACAGGGAGCTAAATGAGAATTTAATTACCAGGTTAAAGGTGCATTTTGTGAACATAACACCAGGCCGTTCAATAGACGTTTTGCTAAACAACGGGATAAAGACTGAAACGCGACCAGGCCATACGGTCAACTCTGAATGGGAGTCACTGTAAAAAAAAACACATAAGTCAACAGATAGTTCCCGGATCGATCCTTGTGACATCCTCTCGTTCAAGACCGAGTCCCCCACGTGGGGGCCTTGTCGACTCGCATCCTCGTTGGACGCGATTGGTCAACTTGGGGATGACTGACGCGAAGATGCGGCACGGTATCTTCGCTTTCTGTCGCCATTGGCTGCCATTAATGGCCGCTCCTCCTCCGGACCACACACTATTGGCTTTAGTTGGGGTGGGGGGGTGGGGGTGGGGGGGGTGTGGAGGTTGGGAGGTAGGGTGGAGGGGCTTCACGGAGGCGCAGGGAAGTTGTAGTTCTCTACCGGAGACGCGCGTCTGCGGGGCTGATTACCGCTCACCGTAAATGAAACTACACGTCCCGACGTCACGCCACGAGCTCGGGTAATTGTTGTGAATATGTAATTGCGCTCCTGCGACTGGGTTTGCTTCTAAATTTGGCGTCGCAGGAGCAGGCTGGTACAGTTGGTGAGGCAGGCTGCTCGGACCGGTGCCGCACCGAGACGGACGCGTCTCTGGACATCCAAGGGGTGGACAGCGGGGAAAACAGCTGGAGAGGCTGAGCCGTGTCCGGGGCCGGGTCACGATGTGCCAAAAAAGTTGATGCCTCATTCTCATTTCTCATTTTGAGAAAAAAATCGAGGATTCCTGCTAACTCCGGTGGAAGATCGCTGAGCTTTACGCGCATAAAGGGAGGCGTTGAGGAGAGATCGAAGAAGGCTGTGGCAACTTTTGCCTTGATCCTCATTCCGAGTGGACTTTTGAAATATTCCCCTGCTTTTTTTTTGTTGAGGCACTGTTCCGAGGATGTTTTCGCACTCCAAGCAACCAGCCAGAGACTGACCTTTTACGCACGGAGGGAGGGAGGGAGAGGGGGGGGGGGAAACCATCTCTCGCACATTTTCGCTTTCGTGTGGATGAACTTTACAATATATTTTTAATGATTCGAGATCTGAGCAAGATGTACCCGCCGGCACGGCATCCGGTAAGTAGAGAGCATTCGAGGCAAGATGTGAAAAAAAAACAAACAGCGCAGATGAGTAGCCGCGCGCCTGATGCGTAATCAGTTTAGATCGAGTTTTCGTGCCACTGCGCGCTCGCGCGGACAATTGCGCTCATTGTCGAAGTGCTGCAGCTGGATGTGTGTGACCGCGAGTGTGCGTGGGTTAACGAGCGAGGAGACTGAGTGAGAGCAAAGGGGGGGCCATGATAGAGGCCTATTGTCCCGCCTGTGTGTGTGTGTAAGTGTGTGTGTGTGTGTCATGACACTGAACTTTGGTCACTCAGTTCTTGCTCTCTTCCCTCGCACGCTATTTGGTTTGGGTCGAGGTCCCCCACCAGCCGGGGCAGCCGTTTAAGTTCACCGTCACGGAGTCCTGCGACCGGATCAAAGAGGAGTTCCAGTTCCTGCAAGCACAGTATCACAGGTGAGAGTTTGGCCACATCAGCTCTTCACGGAAACCCACTTATGGCTCATTGAATAGATAATAGCTGTTTGCATTATCTTCCTTCATATTAAAGGCACAGCAACTGGTTTATTAACTGAGAGTAAAGCAAACAACCACAGCAAATTATTCCAAACAATATTGCACTGTTCAAGTAAAAGCAATGCCTTTTTTTCCTTGTGTTTTGGAGCTTTTATAGTAAACACAAAGCCACGTGGCCTGAGATGGGAAAATGCTTTGACAAAAGAAAAGAAAAACAAGCAAACTATGAAAATACCAGTGCTGATGAAAATGCTTCAGTTTAAATCCATAAACAACTCCTTGATTAGAGTTTGAAGGTGCAAAAAAGTTGCGAGAGATTTCCGGATTGTTCCTTGGACCAGTCATGTATGCAGCATCCAGCAGGACACGTTGTTTCATGTTTACACTGTTTAGTGTCGCTGCATGATGCAAAGTCACGAAATGCCAAATAAGAGTGATGCTTTTTCAACTTAGGATCGTTTAATGAATCCCTCTTGGATTGACCTATGAAAGGTGCCGCAGAAAATGCACTCTCTTAACTCTCCATTTGGCGTTTAGGCACCAGCACTGTAGCCCTCATTTGTCTGGGGTCCATCTATCACCTGCTAAACACAGGTAAACCCCATCGACCTTGGTATTCATGTCTCTCTCCGCGAGTGCAAGTGGTGTGAAATACTGTTTTAGCCGACATGATGAAGTGTGAAATACGTTGCCGCGGGGCAGAACCGTAAGCACGATACCAATGCATAATAATCGCCCACTCCCGGCCAACCTCGTAATTATTACCCAATCACCTGGTGAGATGAACCGGCGGTCCAGTTTTTCTGGTCAATCCCGGGGCAGAACAGGCTGAACTGAGGATAATGAGCTGCATGCTTAATGCTGCAGACACCCACATCAAACGCTTTCAATACCAGTGAAATCCCAACAGCAGTCAGGCACCCGTCTGGAAGGCAAAAAAAAAAACACAAAAAAAAACCTGAGTAGTTCGTACATGCTCTGAGAATATCCACCAGGACAAAGATGTGTTGTCAAGCCTGTAAATATTTTTCAATGGTCAACTATCAATGACCAGCTGAGACATTGGAAATTTAAAATTCTCATTCAGAGGAGCCAAAACATATTTAGCTGCCTGTAAGATCTATATCCTTTCAGCATTTTAAAATCTTGCAGTACTTGGTGTGTGTGTGTGTGTGTGTGTGTGTGTGTGTGTGTGTGTGAGGGGGGGGGGGCTCGACACATTACACACCTGATGATTTTCTCATTAGAAGTTACTCATACTTCTTTGTGGCCACAAGCTTTTAAAGAGTTAGGCTTTAGTCTAAAATGGATCCTCATTATATGGCTTCTTTTTTTTATTGTATTTTTTGTCGACGTTGCAGTTTGAGCTTCCTCTCTCTGTAAGAGTATATGATGAGGTTTGTGTGTTTGTCCATTGATCCATTAATTACAGCTCTGCACCTGCTGAGTAAGTGCCTGTGTGTGCAGGAGGAAGCTGCTTGTGATCCAAACAGCTTTTTCTTTTTTCTTTTTTTCTTTCCTCGCTTTTTTTCCTCCTTCCACTGCTTAGATGTCACCATGTAAATTTAAAGTAATAAGATGCAGTGCCTCACAGGGACAATATTCTAGTGGCATCTCTGAAAAAAAATTGACGGTCACGATGGGCTTTTTTGGTTCACGAAACATGTTGATTCTCAAAGCAATGCTTGGTTTCTGGTCATTTAAAAAAAGAAAACTGAATTGTTGTTTTCACGTGGCAGCACTTTGGTGCAGACATGCTCTTAACGTGAACTCATGTCTCCTGCCTCCTAGCCTGAAGCTGGAATGCGAGAAACTGGCCAGCGAGAAAACCGAGATGCAGAGACACTATGTCATGGTGAGTCCGACGTAAAGTCGGGAATCGTCCTGCGATGTTTCCCCACAGAGGAACGGGGAAAACCCCGTTGACTAACCTTCTCCTTGATCTTACCTTTTTTGCAGTACTACGAAATGTCATACGGGCTGAACATCGAGATGCACAAGCAGGTGAGAAGCCTTTTGATGGGAATGTCGAATGGGAAATGTCCGACTCAGCCATTTGTATAAGAGTTTTTATTGTAGTTTCTTTATGCTGTTGGTCTCCATCCCAGTTATCAACACTCCTGCTGGAGGGCGCAAAGGAACAGATAAACCCCCGTCACTTTACGTGGGTCCTGAAATCGGAGTCACCCCGACTTAAATTTGATCCACCCGGCTGTTGATAGTTTTTGCTGGCCTTTTACAAGAGAGCATGATTTGAAGTAGCTTATACTCTTACCTCCTTTGTGGTTTCACGTTCATATACTCCCTGCCCCTAATGGTCTGGTGTTAGCATCAGTAATGGTCTGCACGGCTCTTACATGGCACCTTTTAAACTCAGGTGCTCTACAAAAAGCTGTAATAGTCACATAGCTGGTACAACACACTAACGGTGGAGGGGGGGGGGGCTTTGCTAGGCTCTGATCTGCTGTCATTTATTATAGTTTCTTTAGAATTCCTTGTGTATGAACTTGTGTGAATTTGTCAGAAATCCCCAAACACCATGTTGTCTATCCCTCTCGCTTTTTGCTTCTTAAAGTCTATCATTTATAAATCGAAGCTTACATTTTCCTTATTCAACCTAAGATGGCGAGACACTTGCAAAACTGTAGAAATTGCCATATGTTTTATTAAATTGGTAAACAACTTGTTTCTAAGGCTGCTTTACCAAAAATTTGAAACACGCTGTCAAACCCAAAGTTTCAGGTTCAAGATTGGGTGTTTATTTTACTTTTGAAAAAGAAAAGGCAATAATCAGAGCTCCAGAAACTATGGTTTTCTTGAAAATGAAGAAGGTAATCTGTTATATTCAGGGGTAAAAGCAAAAAAAAACCAAACCCTTCCACTATAACTCATCTCATACAGAGCGACCGGTGGCTTTGCAAGGGTGAGTGGTCTTTCTGCATGCGAATAATAATTTCATCAGTTTAATTGAACAAGAAAATGGGCTGAAAAATGATTGGAGCCGACGAGGATTTGGCCTTTAACGAGCCTTTACATTACCGCTGGCTTTTTTAAAACATGGAGGGGCATTAGCATAAACGTCTGCGTTAACCACACATCAGCTGTCAGGATAAATGGACCACGGCTAACCAGCTACACATTCATTTCCACCCAAATGACGTGTGTGTGTGTGTGTGTGCGCATCCGTGTGTGTGTGTGTGTCAGTATGAAAGGAATTAACAAATGCATGGCCTTTGTCTTGCAGTGGGTATGGGGTTTTTCTGGAGCTGTACAGTGTGTTTACTTTGCAGTGTGTGTGCACATATCACAGATGTTTACTGTGTGTGTGTTTGTGTGTTTTATCACGTGTGCTTGCCTGTAGGCATATTGTAATTGTTTATTTGGCTTTGTGTGCACGATTTGTGAATCTGCGCAGTCTGTTCACTTTTGTGTGTGTGTGCGTTTACCTGTGTTTGAACATGTGTCTTTTTACGTGCAGCTTTTTTTTTTTTACCGACGCACTAATCAGAAAAGGATAAAATAGGAGGTGTCCGCCGTAAATCCCGGCTGCCTTGTTTGCGTGCACGTGCACGTGCGGGTCTGTGCCGTGCACGTCCGGGGCAAAAACAGACAAAACGAGAGGCAGTAAAATGTGACCTGTGGCTCTGCGTGGTGCCGAATGATTTCTGCTAGGAAAGTGACTCCCTCATTTTCCTCATTTCTCTGTTCGTGCTCTATTTCATACGTTTCTTTTCTGAGAGAGTTTTGGAAGCAGATCATTTGGACGCTCGCCAACATGTTGTGGAGTTAATGTGTAATTTCCATTGTTGTGCTCTGTGTAGCAATGCGAAGTGTGTGGCTCACTGGGCGAATGAGTGCATTTAAGAGAGGGCTGGCGGTGATGCTTCTTGAGGGGGATTTTTTTTTTTAAAGCAGTCAGCTTCCACTACCAAGTGAGTAGCTAATAATGCTTGTTTAGCATTTTCTAAGGGTAATAGGCCCATCGATTTTTGGCTCTGCTCTCTGTTTTATTTACACAGAAGAGCTCTGGTGCTCAGGGAGAGAAATGTACCGACGCTCGTTAAAGAGAAATTGACTCGTAGATGGAGGAGAGGACAGACTGGGAGGTGGGGAGGGGGGAGGGGGGGGGGGGTAAGGATGGGGAAGGGTATGGGATGGTGTAGGGGGTGTAGGACGGGAGTCAGAGAGGACAGCTAATCAATTGCAAATTAGCGAGGCTGAAAGCGAAATAAAGCATGCGCAGGATGTGGAGGGAAAAAGGAAAGGCGCTATGAGGACAAAGTGGTGAAAGTAGGAAGTAATAAGATGTTTAGATACTGAAGACTGGCAGAGACGTCGATGAGTTCTGACAGGTAATTTTACAGCTGCAGATAGGGGGCCATTTGCTTCCCTCACGACCTTGGTCACATAGTGTTTCCTCAGTTTTTTTTTAGAATATACTTTGAGTTAGAGATACTGAGCACTCTGAAGCCTTATTAATTACATGATTTTAAATGATCTGGCGGATATTTTTCAAATATACCCACGGTTTGAATGCTGAAAGGTTGCTGTGTTTCCAGCCAGGACTCCATCAATGCGAATCATTTCCATGATCCGGTTTGGAGTGAATAAAATAAAGTGGTGTGGAATTGTCAGCAGGTGCTGATGGTGAATGTTACACTGGGTGGAAGTCAGAGGATAGTAGTTTTTTTAAGGGAGAAACACTGCTTGTTATGAAGTGCGGATTATTTTTATGATCTAAAGGATAAAGAGCTAATGTTTCTCATTATCCGTCCAACAGAGATATTCATATAAACGATTAAAAAAAAACACTTAAATGTTTTGCGGAAATATTCTCGAATCCTTGATGTACTGATGCAAATGTTTAAAAATCTAGTAATGTTAGATGTATGCTTTTTACTTTATAGTGTAACAAAAGATTTATCCTTGCCCTTAGTTCTTGAATAGAATACACAATGATATTCAAAACGGCTTTCTCGTAAAGACGAGCTTTAACAGTACATTTTTACCCACGCTTTTCTTCACTGAATACATTTTCTTCATGCCATGTGGCGAATTTTCCCTTGACTGCCTTTTAGTGGACTGATATTCCTAAGAGCATTAAACAGGGGATGATGCACCATCGCAAACTCCACCAGGAGCTGCGTCGAATCCAAAAAGCCTTTCTGAATTTTTATACGCCGTGCATTTTATTTAGCGGCACGATTTGTTTGTGCCGAGCACACCTTTTGTATTTCCTCTCTGTTCCAACCCCCACCCCCACTCAGTCAGTGTATTTCACACACACTCACTCACTCGCGGAGTCTCCAGGGAGTACAGCCTTTACATGGGGAGGTCCATTAGATGTATTTGCTGGTGGTGAAAAGTGGTGCTGATACGGTGCTTACAAAGCTCCACAGGGGAGAAGGACATTTGATCTTCTATCTGACCTAATCTGACTCCATAGCTCCAGCCTGATCTAATTTCATTGCTGGTAGGAGTTTAAATGGGGCTATATGAGTAGGTTCTTTAATTTTTTTCCTCCCTCTTGTCAACATATTTTGTTCCAAATGCTTCATACTTGATTTTTTTTGTGCCGCTGTGGCTTGGCTTTTTATGCCACTTTTCAACAATCCAAAGAAAAGAAATCGGGTTTTCTTTGGTAAATAATGAAAGCATCTTCAATGGCGGTTTCTACAGAAACACCTTCTTTGTTTGATTTTTTTACAGACTCAGGCGGATCACACCGTTTGTTGCCCCTGAAACTTGATGTCATACACTGTGTTCTCTATAATTAGTCTCTTTTTAACTGGAGGGAAAAAATTCCCTGGGGGTCCACAAACAGGGTCACAGACAAATTCAGCGCTCGCGGTCTCACCTCAGAGGTTGCTGCAGGTTTATGTGACAACCGAGTCTTCTAAACTAGCAACACACTCCACGGATCAAACCTGATTTAGTCCAAACCTTAGAGGACTCCCTGCTCAGTTTTTTTCTTGTTATTTATTCACTGTCAAGCCAATGACAGGACAAGGTTTTTGCAAGATTTTTTTTACAGGCGAACCAACATACCTAACGTCTCAAAAAACTGAAGGATACTTTTTGAAGGGAAAAAGGAATGCTTTCTTTTTTGCAGCGCGAAGAGGCGTGTGGCCAAACTGGCTGACATCTCTGCACTCTGGCCCACAGTCCTGATGGTTTTCCTCTGATGTAAAATGTCAGCTGAAATTGGTTGTGTTGCATTGAAAAGCACCTCCATTTCCTTTTCTGCTCCAGTGCTTTTGTTTCCGTTTTGATGCCGACATCTCGGCTCGTCTAAATGAACGACCTGGTTGCTGGGTGATATTATTGCGGAGATATGTTTTAACAGGATGGCGTCGCATAACTTGTTTCCTTCGGTGTAGTTTTGAATGGTTGGAATCTAATTGGTTTGGACTGAAATGTAAAAATGTAATTTTTAGTTTTCAGTTGCTTCCGTGAGTTGTATAGATTCATCAGACTAGAAGGTGTAGTTTTCTCATTTACTCCCTCCATACCTGCAGCAGTGGTTGACGTGAGGCCGCAGCAGGATGATCTTCTAGCTGTATAAATATTGAGCATAGTCAACACAGAACACTCAGGTTCCCACGAGCAAGGCACTTAAGCCCCCAATAAGCAGCCTCAATGGAGGATCTCAGAGGCTAACAGGTTTGGAAAATCTCCCTGTCAAGAAGAACCAAGTTGAAAAAGGGCATGTGTGCTGAGCACATCCTGCTTGTATAAAGATTAAATAAAAAATGAAAATGTCAGTGTTTAGGTTGTCTTTGTGAGTGGATTTGTGTGTGGATGTGCGTGTGTGGCTGTAGTTTGGCTTTATTGGCAGGTAAGTTGAAGATTAGTCCTTCTTTGGGTACTCAACTACCAGAAAGTCTGACAATTTGAGTACTTTGTGACTGCTAATACCTGTGGATTGTATAAGACATGACACTTTTTCCTACTGGTTTTCACGGTTCGCACAAAAATGATGGAACTCTCTGCAAACTACTTCCTTGGTAAACTGGTAAAAAGTGAGTTATTGCCATATAGACAATTTTGTTCATTTACTATTTTCAGCCATGGACCTCTGTCTGTAACGAGAAATTCTGGCAATGAACTTGTTTTAATATGACACAATCACTTTCATTCATATATTACTGAATAGCATTGTCAGTGCTTAGAATTAAGTAAAAGGTTTCTTTTGAAATTGAAAATTTATTTGAGGTAATTGTAAATTAATGTTAAAACACAGGAATTCTGCACTCTAGTGTTACAAGGTTGCACTGAATTGATTTGCCACTTCATATATCAGTCAGTCAGTTTTTGAAAAATGACTTATTCTTTTAAATACGAATGGTGGAAAATGCAAGCATGAACTCCTCTCCCTTAAATGGATATTGTAGAAAATGTTGGAATCTTATGATGCTAGTGTGATTGTAGGTGCAAAATTGTAAATTGTGAGAATTTAATCTTTTATACATTCAAAGCACCAAATATGCTTTGGTCTTTCTTTCAAACTCACCTGTAGTGACCGTGAGAATGGCCGCATATGAATTGTAAAATGGCACCTATGAGGGCAACAACTGCATTGTAAAAAATACAGCAAGTTATTGGTCAAATTCTTTCCATAATGAGTGTTCTTCTTGGTATTTATCATCTTAACACAGCTAAGAAGTAACAGGAATAATTCAATATAGTTTACGTACAACAGAATTTAACTGTCATCATATTTTGGCTCAGAATCGATGTTGTGAATGCATAAAAAAATGAAAGTGCTGCCTCTTACAGAGTGATTTCCAAACAATGCTTTCAGGCGCTCCACTCCGTTTGGCATCGTTTCACTCAAAGGTCAAGATCAATGATATCTCTGATAATTACTTGCGTGACTAATTGTGGCAAAATTACAATGATCACGTCTTTGCTCTAAAGCACTTTGCCATAATACCACAATTTAGCAGCTGTCGGAGATATTTTGACTCGATTAGCTGTGAATTAGTTGTTTGCTTATTCAAGAAAAGAGCTATCTGTTGCCCCAAGGCATGTGTTCTTTGGAGCTGCATTTGAATTTCAGAGAAATAAAACAGACCCACCAGCAGATCGCTTTGACCGCACAGATTAACACCGCAGCGTTGGGTTCAGTTTATCACACACTTATTGTTAGAAATAAAGAAAGCGATGTTTATCCTCAGGTGCGTGTTAGTATGCATTTCCCAATCTTTTGTCTGTGTTTATGTTTGGATTTGGTTTTGCACTGCCAGCACTCCCTTTGGGACAGCGGTCCAGGCAATTTCCTGTTTGTAGAGAAAAAAAAAAGACACCTAATCTTGAGAGAGTGAGTGCTGTTTAATCTTTCAAAACCAAACCTTTGGTTCGGTAAAAAAAAACATCTGATGAATACAGAGAAGGGCTATGCCCGTGGACGTGTGCGCTCGCTGTTGTGTTGGTGTGTACGTTCCCTCCGCGGTGTTGTTTGCGCTTTAAGCTGAGGGATTTATTTAAGTGTGTGCTGTGGGTTGGCTGTCGTTGCCTCGGGGGGCGTCTGTTAACACTGATACCAAACTTCACCTCTTCCAAGGTTACGTACATGAAACAGGGTTAGAGACGTGGCCTCTCCCGTGTCTGCTTTGGACTTTGGAGATTCAGTTTGATTTATGACGTCTTGCAAGGGGCTTTTAATTTCTATGGAGGAGTCATTAGAGGTCTCACTTTTTCCAAAGTGTTTAGCTTTCTGTACATGTGAGCATTAACAGACCCACCACTAGGCTGCTTGTTGGTTTAGCACACAGCAGTGGTGGGCCGTCAGGGCCTTCAAGGCCTTCTCTGAAGGCCTAAGAAAATATCTGAATCACAGACTGATGTTAATTATATTTTGTCCATGAAAACTTAAATTAAATATCTCGAAATAGTCTGTCAGCTTCCTTTCATAGCTTTCCCCCTGGTTGCGCTGCTTCCAGACATGTATTTTCACATAAAAGCATTTAACCAATCACATTTCAGACATCCTTTGTCGCTAGGCAGGGTCAGAGTCAAAGATGTCTGCCAGGAGGCCTTCACAATCCGTTCTGCAGGCCCCCCCCCACAGAAAATACATGTCGAGTACATTGTTGCTTCAACCAATCAGATTTTAGGTTGGTGATGACAGGGCCTGCGCGAAGGCCCCGGAAATGCCACCGTACCCACACCCGCTGATTGGATAGTCAGATATCCAATCAGGGCAAAGCTAGCAAACAAACCGAAATATAGTTGTGTTAGTTAGTGTAATAGCTATTTTATTATTTCGTGGCGGATTTACTGTCAAGACCATTTTCAAAACGGACTTTTCAAGAAAATTAAGTGAGTAAAATGTTTTTTTCCTAAATAATATTGCGAGTTTATGAAGATATTATTGATGTATTTTTATTTTGTTTTTGTTTTTTTTGGGGGGGGGGGGTGCAGCTGCAGCTGCAGGAGTACAAGACCTGATCTTTATACTGTATTTTAGGCTTGTCCTGATCCGATATTTGGATCGTATCGGCCGGCATGAGAAAATGCCAGATACATTTATTTTTAAAAGTCCGATCCCAACCGAGCATTAGCATTAGCATCTGTAACCCACAGGTCTGTGCAAACTTTAGTTGTTATAAGAGTAAATCCCTGTTCAACATAAGTCTGTCAACTAAGTAAGTAGGAAAAAAAAATTCAATTTTAATACAAAAAGCTGGATTGGGACATCCCTGTTGTATTTCTACATAATAAGATGATTTCTATAACCATAAAATAGTTATTGAGGGGTGAATTGATTCAGACGGAGCACTACTGAAGGCCTAGGTGTGAAATGCACGGTCCGCCACTGGCACACAGTATACTTTGGCTGGATTTTCTAAGCAACTTCTAATGTTTATGGAAAAAAACACATAGAATTCAATGTCCACATGCAATATTAATAATAGGACATTTTTAAAGTATTTTCTTAGGAAGCAGACTGTTCCTAAATAGAAGTCACTCTCCCTAAATTCCTGTTTCTTTGTTTGAATTATTTACTTGTACTTCAGTGTTGATTAGGATTGACTCACCAACATTTAACATCCCAACATGAGAAGAACTAGAATTTTTCTTTTGTTGATACATAAAGAATTTGAACTTTCTCGGCCAGTGGTCAAGGAGAAAGGTCTTTTGTCCTATAAGCAAGAGGCAGGAACATGTCCAGTTTTTAGAAACATTTTAGAAGCTTGGTAAGTGGAACTTTAAATGTCAATGTAGTTTTTATTCAGATGAGTTCAGGTGTTGTCGCCACTGTGCACTAAAGAAACACAACAGTGGTCTGAATGAAAGATTTACATCAGTACATTACATTACATTCTTAATATTAAGAATATACTTTTCATTTTATACAGTATGTGCAGCTAACAATGTCTTTAGTTTTTACAGATTACCTGAAATACAACACATGATTTTTTATTTTTGCTTAAGCAATAGGAAAAATAATTTAATTGTGAGGATAATTCTGTAGTTTTCTACTGGGGTTGTTTAGGTAGGGATAGATTCTGTTGAAGTTTTCAGTGTGTTCTCACCTTATCTCCTTACCAAGTCAAACATCCTTTTGTGCGGGACGTTGTTTTCTGTGCGCTCCTCCTTCCAGGAGATCGTCCTTAAACCAATCTGCGTGGGTGCTATCTGAGTTCCTTTTTCCTGTGCACTTTTTCTGAAGATCACGTCTGATGGTTTTGCCCTTTTCATGGTTACTCCTTCCAAAGTTATTCCAGAAGAACTATTTTTACTCTTTTTCGTTGGACACTTTTTCGCGAGCCTATTTCATCTCCATTTTTTACAGCTTCCCAAAACTGAATGAATAAGGGAAATTGTACCTCATTGAATTTTAACCACCTTTAACCACTTTGATAAATAGTGACTCCCCGTTACTACTGTGTCCTTGCGCTGTCCTCCAGCTGTATTCATCTTCCTGTTTTTGTCAAATACAAGACCATTTGTGTATGAACAATAAACAGCATTGACGGTTAGTTTGATATGAACTGATCTGTTGAGTAGAAGGTTGTTGAGGAGGACGGCGACGCCTTCATGTCTGCTTGCAAATCGGAAGATGATTGTCCTCTGTTCACCCACCCCTCTGTCTTGCAGGCGGAGATCGTCAAACGGCTGAACGCAATCTGCGCCCAAGTCATCCCCTTCCTCTCTCAAGAGGTAAGGCTGAAAAAAAAAGGGCCTGTCACTGTGAGTTAAGAAGGAAGTGGGTGAAAGTGAGGAAAAGAGGGAGGAAAAGAGACAGAACACAGACAAGAAGTGTGTGGTGGATTCTTAAGCAAAAGAGAAAAAAAAAGTATGGACACACACACTCACACGTGCATGCACACGCACGTCTACACACAGATTATCCTGGGCTAATCCTCCCAGCTCAGGATAGGCAGATATTCTCTGAACTTATCAAATGTCTCCCACTAACATATGCAGGAGCCAGCGGCTGAGTGTGTGTGTGTGTGTGTGTATGTGTGTGAGAATACTTTTGTAGTGAAATACATATTGAGTGGTGGGAGTTAGGTGCGTGTTCTCTAAAGTGTGTTTATTATGGAATTTTGAGGTGTGTGTGTGTGTGTGTTTAGATGCTAAATCCTCCCGCTGAGGAGTTAACAGTGTGTGTGTGTGTTGAGGGGTGGGAACAGCATGAACAAGTAAGTGTGGACTCCAAAAGCTCTCCTCCAGATTAGCTATGGATTAGGAGGGTTTAGGATGGATTAGGAATAATGGCATTAGACTGTGGTGCTGCTACACAGCCCTGAGGCCCACAGAGAGGGGAGGCAGGGAGAGGAAGCTGCTTTGTGCTGATGCACAGCTTTGTTTACTGTGTGCGCATAAGGAAATTCAACATATTCGCAATATTACTGTGCAGCAAATCACACCAACTGTGTCTGCATATGTTCGTGGAGTCTAGGTTTTGTATATCGAGTTCTAATACTGTTCCATTGGCTGTGTTGAAATTTCAGCCAATGGAGAATGGAGAAAGACATTTACCTGTGTGACATTTTGGAATAACATGTTAGTATTTTCATATTAAATTAGTTTTATTTGCTGTAGAGTCTTGTACATAATAAATTGTCTTAAATATATTATAGAATTAGACCTCAAATGAGCAACAGGACCTCTGTGGATACCTGAAAATAAATCTGTCTCCATCGTGACAACACTTAAGATGGATTTTTCTTGGAATTGTCAAGATGCCAAGAAAAAGTTCACCATATATTTTTAGTATTTTATATGCTGCGATTTAGTGCTGTCAATAAGTCTGTGCCAATCTCATGTATTTTAAGAAGAAGTCATCTTTTCCAAATAAGATTCTAATGTAAAGAGAGCAAATTGGATTTATCTAGCACATTTAAGAGCCAGCTTCTGTTTATTTTTTTCCCCATAAAACAAAAGTAAAATAAGCTCCAGTAAACAGAGTGAGGGCTTTTTATTGGCGTGGTCAAAGTTTTAAAGCACTGGACTTTAAGACCGTTTCAGTCACTGCAACATGCAAGATTTAACATAAACTAAACACACATATTGTTTGAGTGCTCCTGCTGGATGTGCTGTTTGGGGCATATAAATATTACTGAAATTCAAACACGTGGCGAGATATCACATATCTGGCCATATCTTAAACAGAAATCGTGATTCACGATGCATCAGTCAGTAAAGGGAAGCAGACTTTGAACGGAAACATCAGACAGACATCCAGCTCCATTTTGATGTGTGTTGCTTCAGGGCGGCCAGGTGGTAAAATCAGGTCAGAACACCCCAAAAGCCATCTTAACAAAAGAAATCAAAGTATTCCGAACCAGTGGCTGCCAGTGGTTTGCGTATACGCGTTGCACGCTTAGATAATGCGCTGGCATGTGTGGATACCGGTCTGTTTTGGTGTGCTTTAAGTATAAACAAATAATTTCAAATACAATATTTTATTCATAAATGGCATGCATGTCATTTGCATGAGAAATATGTCTACTCAAGAGAGTACAGAGAGAGGCAACACTTCAAAAGTAGCTCAATTTCACAGGTTAACTTCACAGGCTTATGTAACTCCGTGCTACTACTCCACTGCTCTACCTTGTTCAGGGAAAAAGTGCTGGACGGGACACCATCCTAACAAATTTTGTCTTAATTATGCTTTTCAAAAATCACAGCTTTTTCCAAAGTGTCAAAGAGCCTTTACATTGACAATATTTATCCAAAAATTGATCCAGAAATGGATCAAGTTAGTGTAAATCCCAATTTTTTTTATTTTTTATAAAGAATTGTAACAAGTTCTTTATATGGAATAACTACTTTGCAACCAGAGAAACAAACAGAATGTTCTAAAATGTTCATTCATTATTTAGAATTGTGTTATTACACAGGTGTCTGCCGTTTTTTGACAGTAAATGCGCATAGTGGGAGCAAACAAGTGGGAGCTTTAGTTGCACTTTCTATGCTGTTGGAAACACTTGCTCAGTTCATAGAATGCTTGCAGCCATCGGAGAGAAACGCCTACTGGAGGATTTACTGAAATTCTGAAGCCTGCCAACATTAAATCCAGCGGCGGACAAATGATAACAAGCTCGGACAAAATGACCCTTTGCGGAACCCTCTGTGGATTGCAGGAGCTCCTTAACACGTCAGGGCCTCCACGACAAAAACAAAACAGTTTTTCCAACTTTTTTGGGCACAGAGTTACCGTGATATTATTTGTGGTGTGAATGATGGAGTAAATTGAAAAAAATGACACCAAACCAATTATCCCCATCACCAAAGTTCCACTACGTGCAGCCCCTTTTTTGCTTTTGGCCCATGTCCCAAATGTGTTTTGATGTCAAGAAAACTCAGTATGACTGCTAACTCATTGAAATTGCCCATTCGAAGTCTTTAATTCTTAGAGCCGCTGATAATAATATCATGAAAGCTGTTTGAAAGTCGTCATCGCAGTGCTGGATCTCTCCTGCATGCGTGTCACGTCGAGGCGGGTTAGACTCGGTGAGCAGAGGTGTAGCTGAACTCGATGCTCAGGTTCATTTCCACACCTGATAAACTCTTTCATCTCTGGTTTACTTTGATGTTTTGCGCTCCTGGATGAAACTTGCTGCTCTTTCTTTCTATCAGGATCTGTCTTCCCCTCTGTACCCTTTCTGTGACTTTGCCCTGTGAGCTGTCTTTCTCTATATCTGTCTCTTTCTCTCTTGATCTCTCAGATGAAGATTTTAGCCGCCCGCATTGTTAGCAGACCTGCGCACGAAAATAGAAATAAAAGCTACAATTACATAAAAGATGTGGTTATAACAACAATATCAAAGAAAAGAACAAATAAATGGTGAAAAGAGGATTATGTGACACTCTCTTAAGTGCAAATAAAGGCTTTTATACACACTGATCCCCTACACCAGATCTTGTACCAGTGTATGTAGCACCTTAGTAAAACTGATCTTAGACTACTCCTTTGGACTTTTTCCACAAGGAGATCAAACCGCGGTTTTGGCTCAGAGGTCGCTCAAAGGTTCATCTGTGATGGCAGTTAAAAGTGGAACTGGTCACAGATGTTGGTTTCAATAACATACTGAACACTAAATTTAGTCTCGGACCCCGCCACCCTACTAGGAATGTGCGGTGTGAACAATGGATGGATTGATACTTTTATTGAAACTCAGGAAATAAGAAAATCTTGTTCAAGGTAAATTATGAGACTGTTTGTCATCTCAGTCGCAAATTTCTTCTCCAACTTTGCGAGAAGAGCTTGATTATCTCTTCTCGTGTATTGATTTTGAATAGAGCAGACAACAGAAAAAGAACTGACTTTCTCTGCTTTGCCAGCCCTTTGTAGTAATGAATACCAGAAAAAAAACCCAAATCAAACAAAACAGTCATTCAAAGTACTCACTGTGAAAGGATATTAATGTGGCTTTTAAAAAAAACTGGTTTGCCCATGCTTAAGAATACATGGTTTGATTCTGGATGTGAGAAGGGCGTAAAATGAGAATAGGGTTTGGATCGATTGTGCAAAAAACTACTTGCAATGTGAATAGATAGTTTTGCAAACAGCACCAAACTGGTCTTGTTTATCCAGGAGAGAACGGGATGTGCTATTTGATGGTTTGAATGAGCTACGTTTTTGCCCTCAGCTTCATATTTGGTTGCTTTATTCTCTGAGATGCTGCTGCTCAGGCAGAAAAAGACATTCCTTTTTGTAAGTTTGTATTTTACCCTTTTGATTGACAGAAAAGTGTTGCAGGAGCTTTGTGCCCTTTCAGGACTGTTCTTTGTTTGTGTGAGAAGTCTTCACGAGCATTCTTTTCATCTTAAATAGGGCCATTCTTCCTCTTCTTTTTCTATATTGTTTCTACCTTTTTTTCTGAAGCCCAGATTTGAGATTGCTTTGTTCCATACCATAACCCATTTTTAGGGGATCCACGCGTTAGCTTGTGGATATTTTGTGGATACTGCTGGAGGGCGACGTTCAGAAAAACCTCAATTGTGTGCGCGTGTTTGTTGCTAAAATAGTGCTGATGTCATTCGTGTGTGTTTGTCTGCAAGAGTTCCAGGCCTTCATATCGGCCGCCGCCACATATAATTGAACACATCTTTATCTGGTTCTCTCTCAGTTTCTGGCACTCACTCTCTGGTATTCCTTTTTGTCTGTCTCAGCATCAGCAGCAGGTGGTGCAGGCAGTGGAGAGGGCCAAGCAAGTCACCATGGCTGAACTCAATGCCATCATTGGAGTGGGTGTATTGCACGCACAGGCACTCACACACACAGACACACACACACACACACACACATCCAGACAGCATTTGCCTCTATGTTGAGAGGCTGGTAGACACAAAGCAGAAGAATGCAAACGGAATGGACTTGTGGTTTTGCTATACTGACAAAAGAAAAGACTGATGAAGTTTGCAGATGCAGTTCGAACTTATTAATAAATGAAAGACCAAATATACCAGAATATTGGGTTTAAAATTGGAACAGAATTAAATTTAAAAATGGAACAAAAGCTCTTAATGGAAGTTTATCTTTTTAAAAGGTTGAATTTGCCCGGAAAAAACACATTTGGTGTATCTTCTATATGGAACTTTAGTCCTTGTTCAGTTAGAATTGGGTAAATGGAGCTAATGCTAATTATCGGTACTTCTAACAGACACTCTATGTGTCAGCCAGTAGAACAGTATTTGTATTACATCAATATGTGATGTCAGGCTGAAGGCTAAATTTTTCAGGCATTATGTGGTACTGCATGATTACCCCCCCCCCTTCACACACACACACACAGCTTCAAGCCCTAATCAGAGTTTTGGTGTGTGCTTCAGCAGCAGCAGCTCCAGGCTCAGCACCTCTCTCATGGACACGCCATTCCGATCCCGCTCACCCCACATCCAGCGGGCCTCCAGCCCCCCCTGCCCCCCGGGGCCAGTACTGCCAGCCTGCTGGCCCTGTCCTCTGCGCTGAGTCATCAGCTGCCTCTCAAAGATGAGAGGAAGCACCACGATAACAACGGCGAACATACTAGAGGTAAGCCCCCTGTGCCAGAATTCGGATTTTGACCACGTTCTTACTAATGATGATTGGAGTTTAATGACTACTATTATCGCACTGACCGTCATCTGTGAGGTCTCAGTGTTAATTGATTTCTAACGCACACCACAAATCAGTTGATCTTGAAGTCATCACTCAGAATGAATCAATGGAACGGGAACTGTGTCCCATCCCTTCCAGAAAAGTCAATGGATCAAGGAATATGTGACATTTCATGATCTTGTCCAAAAACATGTGGACGCTCCAAATGGCCCCAACGAGTGAATGTGTGTGTGTTTGTGTGTGTGTGGTTGTTTGTCTCGGTGTGGCCCTGTGACGGTCTGGTGACCTGTCCAGGATCCACCCCGCAGTGAATGTGTTTTCAATAGACTTGAACACAGGAATCCTAAAACTTAAAGTGTATTAAAAAAAAAAACCTGAATCACAAAAATAAACTGAATTACAATTCTGATTTGAAGCAGAACCCAACTACCAAGATGTCTCTATTGTACTTAAAGAAAAGCTCTAAGTCTTCTCTGAGCTGACTGAGCTCAAGTATTCAATTACCACTGATAGAGACTGAGAGTGTGTGTGTGTGTGAGATTCAAGCCATGTGTACAAATACTTGATTACTCTGTTGCGGCGAGGCTGTGAGGGTTTTTTGCCGTGCAGTCGAGTGTTTAACCTTGTCCTGTAAGCTGCAGTAAAGCTAACAGCTGCTAATCCTCCTAGTGCTCAGCTGCATTAGAAAAACAATCAACAGTAATGAAACTTTATTTCCAGACTGCTTGAGAATGAATGTGTGCATGCAGAGGAAAAAGAGGCTTCTTGACACATTCCAAGACTTTTTAAAACAAAAACTAGATCTCAAACTGTATCCAGTTTCTGAATTTTTCAAACAACTTACCCTCATTTATGGACTATTTGAGGGCACCTTAATATAAGCCACACCCACTAACTGTCCACATAGAAACGAGATATTTACACAGAAATTTTTTTTAAAACTTTTCAGTTAGATATGTATGCCTCTTTCCCACCTGTTTGGGAGGGTTTTTTTGGGCATTTATATCAAAATCATCAAAATTGGAAAGTGTTCTTCATGCTAATTTGTTATAGTGTTCATTCTTGCTCAAATATCCCCATCAAAACCTAGAAAATTGCAAACATAACTTTCTGTGTGGATTTTAGTGTTGTGCATTTATATTTTTAGTTTCCATTGCGTGTCTGGCACACATCTTCTTGTGCTTTTCATATCCAATGCTTTAATCAGATGTGTTTTTCTTTCTCTTTTTCTTCTGCTCTTCAGACAGAGATTCAGTCAAGGTGAGTCTGCTCTGTTTCTTTCCTCTTCTCACAGCACCGTTCTTGGCTGAAAGTACATTCCTGCTCCCTCAGCCTTGTATTTTTTTTTTGTTTTAGATAAAATGCCTGCGTTATCTGTAAAATGATACAGGAGTGCTTCGATTAACTTAATTTGTTTTTTCAACGGCTAAAAGTGAGGGAGCAAATGTGTTGTTCTTCTTACGTTTAATTAATCTTTTCTGTTAATTAAACAAAAATCAGATGTGAGAAAATAGCCATGTTCTTACACAGATGATCTGCTTAAAGATGTTTCCCAAAAGTATCATAAATGCAACTTACTAGCTGGTGTTATTAAGTAATGGCCATATTTAAAGCATTGGATATGGCAAAATGATGGCATCTTCCAACAGAAGCTAAACTGGGTGAAAGAGAAATGACAAGATCAAGAAGAAAAGCTTAGCTGCTTCATTTAGTGAGGGGAGCAGAAAGAGGCAGTGCTACAGATCATGGTTACATCCAGTGCTTGTAGTAATTAGTCCCTTAAGCGGAGCTTTTTTTTTCCCAAGGCAAACATTTGGTTTGTTGAATACTCAATGAGCAGATTAGCATTTCTTTATACCGGCAGCCTGAGCTCACACGCTAGAGCACACATACAGACACACATACACACACACACACACGCACACACACACACACACACACACACACACATTTAAAAGATTGTGCGTGTTCTGTGGTGTTTTGAGCATCACTGTAAACTAGGAGAACGTTTTAAATATGTTATCTGCCATGCAGCATATTCTCAACCACAGACACATACACACAAAAAAAGAGAGATATGGGCATGGTGGTGGGAGCGGTTAGCATTGTGTGTCCATGTGAGGTCATCAGAAATCTGTAAAAACAGACAGGCCGGAGTGATGAATGCCTCGCATTAGCGCCGTGTGAGAGTGCACAGACACAGACACACAAAACGCGCTCACACAAATACATAGAGATGCTCTTTGACACGGTGGCCAACAGTCACTCCATGAAACCAATAAGCCCCTTGTCAGTGATCTGGGGGTTGCCTTGGCAACAGTCCACACAGTACAGTGTGTGTGAATAGCATGAACATCTGTGTCTTAATGTCCTTGGCGTTGGCACCTCACAGACTGATAAAGGTAGAGGGTATAAATGGAGCACACATGTGCCTCCGCACACGGTGCAGGCAGTCAATTAAGCAGTCGTGGTGCTTTCAAGGACAGCACCCTCCTCAGACCTTTCCTTGGCGTCGGTGGGAATGAAAATGAAACCACGAGTCGGTTCATTTATCCGCAGGACTGAACTGCGCTGGGTTTTTTTTAAAGTTTCTTTTAGTAAAGCTCCTACAAAGAAGACATAAGACTTAATTCACTGCTTCAATTCCAGTTAAACTGAACTACTTGGCTTTGATAAAACATTCGATTGTGAACTGCATGTTTATGAAAAGATGATGAATGGATTTCCACCACGGCTTCCTCAAGTTTATAGACTGATCTTTACCATTGATTGGGACTAAACACTGCTTGGTGTTTGTGTAGTCACTGCTTTGGCTCTTAGATTTCTTCTTTTGTAGTTTCAGTCTTGGTTTTGCCGTTTGCAAACAAGCTGTAAGACTACAGTCTATTTGTCTGTGTTAACGCTGGGATGGTCTTTTAAGAACTCTGACTGTCGTGTGGAGGCTGGACTCTCATGCTGTGCAGCCTGCAGAATAACAAAGAAGATTGCACAGAGATGAAGTCAACCAAATGAGTTCAGGCCAGAGTTTTAAAGATCCTGGGTTTGTTCCAGAGAGTTCTGAAGACATTTGAAGACACAGATGATTACACGGGAGGTCTTACATGCAGCAATCTCAATTTTTCTTTCTTTTTCCCTGATAATGGCTGTCTAATTGAGTTACTATGAACAAGACGAAAAAATATGAAAAGATCCAAACAGTACGCAATGTTCTCTTTCCCATCTTGTCACCCGTTGATGCTCTTTCAGCACATCTTGGTGTCATTTTTATGCTCTGGTTCTCTCTTAAGCATTGAGAAGTATTGCAAAATGTGCATTAGCATCTCCCATGTCAAAATGTGCTCATTTCCTGGGTGAGAAAAATTGAAATGACCACTGCAGTTGACATTATGCCGTCATTGAATATTGTTATCATCTTTATTTATTATAATTATTATTCAACATGAGCTAGATACCCATTTGAGATATTGGAATTTTCTGTTATGGGGCACTATCTACAGGTTCAGACCTTGTTGATACTTTTTTCCCCCATCCTGTTCAGCATATTTGGGCTCCTTTTAGTGTTGTTTCTCTCCGTTATTGGTCTGGCTCCACCTATCCTCTTCCAAACCAGTATGCCAGCCTTTACTGACTGATCCTACAATTGACTCTCATGCAATATCCTAAAAATACATACAAACATCTGTAAAGAGCAAACAACACTGATGATGTAAACAGTGATTTGTTTCGTTATTTTTATTCCTGTTATTTTGTGGTTATGGTTGAATATTGTTGATAGACAACAGAAATGCCACAAAATGCACTGGTTTTCTGAAAGGAAGCATTTTTGCATATACAGTAATCACAAAATAGTTGTGCACATATAGTGATGACAGTGGGAAAAAAATAGCCTTCATCATACTACTCTAATTACTTGTAGCTGAAGCGAGCATCAAAGTTTACATAAGCGGAGAAAAAGAAACACAAGAGCGTACAGATATCATTACGGGGACTTTGCAAATCAATTTGACATGGGAAGCAAACACAATTATGTCAATGACAATTAATACTCTCATCCAGCCACACCGCACAGTTTGTCACAGACACAAACGCCTGTACTGCTGGCGGCGCCTTCATTTGTCTCTTCAGCTAAATTAATTTGCTTTGATGTTTTGTTTGAAAGAGCTAATTTGCCGGGTAATTAATCTAATCAGTCTGAGAAGAAAAAGCGACGGAGACCGAGGAGGCAACTCGCTCCTTCTCACTCCAGAGGAGACGCGCACCTGTACACACTCTGACATCTCCAGATTATTTGCACATACAGAGTACCGAAAATGTAAACAGGGACAAGTGTTGCACGACCACTCTTTCTCTCTCTCTTTTGCATGCACACACACACACACACACACACACACACAGAGCATCACTCCTCCCCCACACAGAATCTCTGTCATCAACACTTGCAGCACGGCAAAGGGCAGCGGAAAGGTTACAAGCGTGAGTTAGTGGAAAGGTCGAGCTAAAGGTCTTCCTTTCTTTTTCCCTTCTCCCTGTCCAGCATCTGCCGGGTAAGCAGCGCCTCCCAATGAGAGGCAGAGATCTGCAGAGACACAAGGAGCAAGAAGGGGAAATGTTTAGTTGACCTTAGTTTGATCTTTGCTTTCTCAAAGAAGATTAATCCTTCGCGTAATGATATTTAAAGGATGCCGTGTTTGATTAAGAAAGAGAGACATCAATGGAGCTGCAGGCCCTTAATGCCATGATGGTGTAATCGCCCTGTCATCAGCGCTGCACTGCTTCTAATGAAGTAAAAACTGAATGACTTTTGCAAACTGGAATTATGAGAGGGTTATGGAAATTCAACAAAGTGAGCAGGGTTTGGTTTTAGGCTGAAATTTCCCAAGTAAGCCCATAAGTAAAAAATATGCATCAGGAACAGGAAGCAAATGCCTTATGGACGCAGGGTGGAACACAGTGTAATACATTTAAATGTACATGTTTTTGCTGATGCACTATCAAACAGAGGTCTGTTTACTCCAGCGTGTGTTTATGTCTTTTTTTTGTAGAGCTCCTCTATCTCTCCGTCAGCCAGTTTTCGGACTGGAGAGAAGCACCGGAGTTCAAGCGATTATTCATCCGACAGCAAAAAACAGAAGACAGACGATAAGGAGCTGACCTCCACACGCTATGTGAGCGAAGATGCTCAGCTCAACCTTCTCTGAACAGGAGACGGGCTGAATTATTAAACAAACTGTTTTTGATCAAAAGACCTGGGAAAAGGCAGAGCTAAATCTTTTATATCTCTTTTGATCACATGGCTCTTGTCCTGCTTCAGCTTTAGAAAGTCTCAGCTCACCCAAATGTGAGAAAAGTATCAGGTTTTAATATATAGTCCATTATCATCATAGGCTAAGACAGCAACAACTATTGTTAAAATTGGGATGTGGTTATAAACCTTCTTGTTCTCACCTTACCAAAATGTGATATTTAAATTGATATTTTATATTCTATAATGAATTACCTCATTATAATTTATATTTATATAGATAATTTATATTTATATAGATATACATATATATATTTATATATTATAGAATTTAATACTGAATTTAATCATTGGGTTCTTGCACAATTATGGAATATTTATGTAAAGTGATGATGAGCATGTTTATTTGCCATCTAAAGATGTTTATTTAAATCTAAAAATTTCATTGAAGATCATTTTTCCTTGACATAAATGTCTCCAAATCTGAGGTTTTTCGACATTTTTTGTTAAAGCTACACACAGAAATTTTCTTCTGGATGAAAGTAACTTTTTGTGTCAATCTCAGGAAAGTGACGGGGAGAAGAGTGATGAAAACTTAGTCGTGGATGTCTCAAATGAGGTACTGGACATTTTGTCATGATAGAGTCCTTTGTGATTCCTGCTCTTAAGGGAAGCTGAATCTTGTTATCTTTTCTTAATCTCTTTATAGGATCCAGCGTCCCCTCGTGGAAGTCCTGCACACTCTCCTCGGGAGAACGGATTGGACAAAAATCGCCTGCTGAAGAAAGACGCGCCCCTCAGTCCATCTTCCATCGCCTCCTCTAGCAGTACACCTTCATCCAAGTCCAAAGAGATTAACTCGGTGAGTCATCCGGGTAATTATATCATACTGACCTTTTTCATTAGTCATGTCTCAGGATGTTGTTTTCTATATTTAGGCTTGCTAATAATACGTAAAAAAAATCAGAAGCGGTCATTGGAGCATTGTAGAGACATAAACCATTTGTTCCTGATCTAGTCTTTTAAGACCCATCTTTTTTTGGTACAGAATGAAAAATCCACAACCCCCGTCTCGAAGTCCAGCACCCCCACGTCTCGCTCTGAGGCCCCCACACCGAGCAGTACCTCCACCCCAGTCCTAAGGTCTGCACCCAGCAAACCAACAGGAGTCGAGACTCAAGGTTAGTTTGGAAACTTAGACTTTTATCTGCACTAAACGTGATTTAGAAGTAATTTTAAGAAACCAACGTCATAATGTTTTAGATTCAGTAACTGGTTTATATAGATATTTCTATCGAACTTCAGACATCACCACATGTTCTGCCTATCTTCTAGCCCCTGGTCTTCGCACTCCTCTGGCGGTGCCCTGCTCGTACCCTGGTCCGTTTGGAATGGTTCCTCACCCCGGCATGAACGGCGAGCTGAGCGGAACGGGAGCGGCCTACACCGGCCTGCATAACATCTCGCCGCAGATGAGCGTGGTAGCGGCCGCCGCCGTGGCCGCCTACGGACGCACGCAAGTGGTACGCCCCGCCGCCGCCTGCCCAGAAACGCCACGCGCGTTTGCGGGGGCCTCTGAACTGTGTCACCCTCTCAAACTGTTTCAGGTCGGGTTTGATCCTCATCACCACATCCGTGTCCCTGGACTTCCTCCCAACCTTTCGGGAATTCCTGGTGGAAAGCCGTATGTCATCTCCTCCTTCTTGAAAAAAAAAAAAGAATTCACAAAATGAACATTCAAGCCATCTCTTTTGCTCTCACCTCACTTGCTCTCTCTTCTTTCGCTGCTCCTTGTCCCCCCAGAGCTTACTCCTTTCATGTTAGTGCTGACGGACAAATGCAGCCTGTGCCTTTTCCTCCAGATGCTCTGATTGGCTCTGGCATCCCACGCCACGCTCGCCAAATCAATACTCTGAGCCACGGGGAGGTGGTGTGTGCCGTTACCATCAGTAACCCTACGCGCCATGTCTACACTGGTGGCAAAGGCTGTGTGAAGGTGTGGGACATCAGTCACCCTGGCAACAAGACCCCGGTATCCCAGCTGGACTGCCTTGTGAGCACAACATATTCATTCTAACATTTATGGAAGCGAGTTGCACGCATGTATGCGAGATCTTGGAATCTTATTTATATATTTTTTTTGTATCTGTTACATCAGAACAGAGATAACTACATCCGCTCATGCCGGCTGCTCCCGGACGGACGGACTCTCATCGTCGGGGGCGAAGCGAGCACCCTGTCCATCTGGGATTTGGCCACACCGACTCCTCGGATCAAAGCAGAGCTAACGTCGTCGGCGCCGGCCTGTTATGCCCTGGCCATCAGCCCTGACTCCAAAGTCTGTTTTTCCTGCTGCTCCGATGGCAATATTGCCGTCTGGGATCTCCACAACCAGACCCTGGTTAGGTAGGCTGCCGAAAATGCTGCCGTTTGAGGGGTTGACGACAATACAAAAGACAAAAGCGACAAACATGACAAAAGATGAATTAAAACTAATTAAAGCATCTAATTAAATCTCACTCTGAGTGGTATGTTGATACGACAGCCAGCTTTGCATGCTGCGTTTGCCTCCTATCCAATGAGGCCTGTGGGAAAACAAGCAATTGGAAGTTCAGCACCACTGGAGAGACTGAAGGCTTCATAGGGTCTATTTAGATTCTTGTCTGGTACTTTTTCTAGCACTTCTCGTTCCAAAAAAGTGGGGAAACTTACACCGTATGTTCAAATAGCAAACCTCGTGAAAAAAGACCAAGGTTTACAAAAAACTTTGATCAGAGACGGAGAGAGACCACGTTGAATTCAGTTCTTTTTTTTCCAATGCCAAATGACAATAGATATCAGTAAAAAAAAAATTTTCATTATTCACCACAGTTTGAACCTTCTTAGTCAATGTTTCTTGGCATTTCTTTAAGTTTTCCCAGTTCTTCACGCTTCTTGAAGGACATCCGAATGCTATTCTTTTGATGCTGGTTGCTTTTTGTTCTCTGTTAGATGATCCCGAACTGCTTAAGTTATGTTGAGGTTAGGTCTCTTAGGAGACCTTAAGACCTGTTGCCACTGATTTTCAGTCCAATGCGTGTGCCATCTGGCATACCCCAACCTGTTTTTGACAGCCATTTTAACGTGGAGACCATTTCTGATGATGGTTCAATAAAGAATAGATCAGTCATCTGAAGGTCCAGACATCTCAGGTCCTGTGTCAGATCTTTGTTGATTCTTTTCATATTTCTCATGGGCATTCTGTTTATCCATTGATAGACTGCTATACCTGTAACTTGCATATTTGGCTTTCCCTTAGAGAGTTTGCATTTGCTAAGTTCAGTAAACATGTCAAAGGTGGATGAAAAACTGCAGTACAAGAACTAAAGGGTGTCTCAACACCTTTGGGTGGAACTATAAAAGCTGAACTATTTTGTCTCTTATCTCTGACACATGAGACAAACCTCCTAATACTCGCTGCACTATGTTCACTGTTATGTTTTGCTTGTTATTTCCTGCAGGCAGTTCCAGGGCCACACCGATGGAGCCAGTTGTATAGACATATCTAATGATGGGACTAAGCTGTGGACAGGAGGACTGGATAACACAGTCAGGTCCTGGGATCTGAGAGAGGGGCGGCAGCTGCAACAGCATGACTTCACCTCCCAGGTACTACGGAGATCCACAAACACAAGCTAACGAATGCAAAGCAGCCCTTAGTAACCGAGCTACTGCCTAACCTGCTTTATGCCCAACCTGGTTTTGTGTACTAAAAGTCTGTAGCAGCAGTTTGCCGGTGTAAGTTTCTGTATCTGATCAAAAACCCTGATTTTGTACAAATGCCTTTTATCATTATTTGGTAGTTAAGTTGAAGTAAGAATGTCACAGACCGGAAAAATTGTCCATCATAGGACGAGTCATTGCCATTTGCAGTTTATGTGATTACTGTCTCCGCTTTTGATCTATTGCCGTAATTTACAAGCTCAGTTCAGAGCATTTAACCCACACTTAAGGCCAGACGGTATTTTTTTCCCCCTGTCCTCAGATACTTTTAACAGTAATAATACTTTCAGTTAGAATTTAGTTTTTAAGGTGAACAGAAAAGCAGCAATAATAGACCATTACCGCAATTTTCCTGAATAGAGCCATTTACAACCTCAGTGTGCGCATGTGGATGTGAGTGTGCATTAAGGAGAGTTCTTAGAGGGCACAGCAGACAGGCAGAGAAATACAGCTGATAAAGTTCTTATTCTCCCTGTCAGCTTCGGCGGTTTTGTCAACATTTACATCACAAAGACGCTAAATAGCGGTTTCTTGCAAAGTCTGTCTAGATTTTACTAAATCATTAATTGACACTGTTTCATGCACCGAATTTGCCGTTACACCCAGAGGAAACTGTTTGGTTTCTTTGCAGATCTTCTCACTGGGATATTGTCCAACGGGCGAGTGGCTTGCCGTGGGGATGGAGAATAGTAACGTGGAGGTCCTGCATGTCACCAAACCTGACAAGTACCAGCTGCATCTGCATGAAAGCTGTGTGCTCTCACTCAGATTTGCTCATTGTGGTAAGAGTCCAATATGGATGTACTTTCCAATCTTAACAAAATATGATACTGGACTGGCAATTTTTGTCCCTGGAAAAGCTGCACAGATTAAGTTTAGATGTCAAAGGCAAAACTCATCTGCTGTTAGGAGAGAGTAGAGAGTGGGGATGGTAGTACTTGTTCCCTTCTCTCTATACTTGAATCACTATTTCTATTAGTGTACCAAAAAGTAGACATGTATGCGCTCCTTTAAGGTGGTTTTTGCTTGCTCTGTGAAAACTAGTACATCGAAAGACTGAACTAACCAGGTGAAGATGAGAATTCTGTTCTGGGCATGTACATATATAAAATACATATGTAAATACATAAGACCAAATGGCATCATTTAAAATATCTTTTAAGAGATGAAAGTAATTGATGCTCATTTGAATTATTGCTTTGTATTATTTAAGGGGTGACTGTCCAGTTCAATACCTTTTATGACTTTTTAGAATATAAGTAAGACTCGCAAGTACAGTAATTAGAAGCCGGAAAACAGTTTTTTACACTTCCATTGCTCCTGTATTTTCTTCGACATGTCTGCAAATAGGGTGGAACAAAGTCTGCCATTTAGTTCGCCAACATGATGCTGGTTTAAAGGCTCAGGTTTTTTATTAAACTATGGCCATCATATATTCTTTTGGAGTGACCATACTTTAATGAAAAGGTCAAACGCTAAGATTTGATGAGCAGGGGAGCATCCATAATTCATGTAATCTATCCGAACTGTTTAGTTCATAATCTAAGCAAACATATGGTGTTTCTCTCTAAAATATAAAGTTATTCAAATTGGCCAACATATATTAGAAAAATTGCACTACATTTTGAAAGAAATGGATATGTGTGTAGCTCAGTTAAAAAGCCATAAACATTTGTAATGATTAAAACAGTCTAATGATGCCACAGAAACAGTTATCTTTCAAAACATTTAGCCTGTTGCTTTAAGGCTGAATGCAAGTCCTGTTCTACATTCCCTGATGGCCTTGTGAGTCTTTCACATTGGCTCCTTCAAATAAAGATTTCTATGACCTAATTGCTTTTTGATTTATTGCAATCATAGAATTATGTTTAAATGACTATCAGGAGATTGAGTGAATGAGCCATTGAAACCTTACAAACTTGCAGGTAAATTTGATTAACTTTCGGTTTCATTACATAAATTGATGCTTCTTTAATAAGAGGTGCAGAGAGGTACATACAATGCTCTAAGGTCATGCACAGCACTTCCACATTAGTTTGGCTTTTAAGCCCACAGCATCGATGGTTTTCTTTGCATTTACATCCAACCATGCAGTTTTTGAATTCACACAGAGTGATGTGAATTACAATTTAAAGGGGATTCTGGCACTAGATGTTGTTCAATGTGATTTAATAAGGCTTCATAATGTCTGAATGAGATTAAAGTGACATGAAAATGTACAAAATAAAGGATATGCACAGGCGACAGAGACATGTATAAATTCTAGTTTACCATTCTCTGCAGGGAAGTGGTTTGTGAGCACAGGCAAAGATAATCTGCTCAACGCATGGAGGACCCCATATGGAGCCAGCATATTCCAGGTTAGTGTGGGCGCGCATGCAACAAGAAGATAAAAACGCATTAGTAGTAGCTGAGTAGCCAAACACAGCACAATTGGCTCATCGGGAGGTGGATAGATGTGCCTCCAAGAAAAACATCTAGCCTCTTCCTACCTAAACTTTTATTTGAAGATGTTTGACAAAAGGTTAAGATGCCTATGAACTGAAAAAAATATAAAGATATATAGATACCCTGAAGCAAAAGCCTTATTTGTACAACAAAAACAGAAATCAATAAGAGTGAAGGCACGCTCAATCCAACACATATATATATATATATAGAAAGGGGACATCATAGTACCACGGAAAACAGAAAATAAAGGACTATGAAACAGTGGAAACTTCCATTTTTGTCATATATATATAAAAAGTCTTCTTTCAAATATGTACAATGCATGGTATTAATCCTTTTTACTGTTGTTGCTGCACTTCTACACACGTCTTTTATTACCCTCACAGTCAAAGGAGTCATCCTCAGTGCTGAGCTGCGACATCTCCATTGATGATAAGTACATTGTGACTGGATCAGGAGACAAAAAAGCAACAGTCTACGAGGTCATCTACTAGGAGAGCAGACCTAGAAAAGCACTCTTGTGTCTGGGTCTAAAGTCTCCATCTGTGTACAATTTCAATGTGTAAAAAATTTGAATGGAACAAACCAAACGCTTTCTTGGATCGGGACCTTTTGACCTCCTGGTTGGTCGTGGATCAAAACGAACAAGTGGATCTAAGCACAGATTTTTTTTCTTTTTTACGTGTTTACTTTTTTTAAGTGTTTTTTTTTTCTTTTTGTAGTTATGAGGATGAATGTCCATGTGAACTGAATCTGCAGTGGCCAGATAACATTCCCGTATGTAACATATGACAAAAGCTTCTCAGTTGTGATACAAATGTTATTGTTCACGTAGTACAGTATTTGCCTATATATTTCTATGTACCTGGAGGCTTCAGTATATAGGCGAATTGGCTGGTTAATCATGGAAAAACTTCAGAACATCTTTCTAAATAATTTGCACTGTATAACAGTAACAAAAAATTGGATGCTACTATCTCATGTTGGTGTTAACATTAAGAACATAGGAGAAAAAGCAGTAGTAGCAACAAATTTGTCGTTCCTTAGCATTTTTTTTTGTCTCTATCCGGACTCTGCTGTGAACCTTTCTTTACATACTAATTACCAGCATCTTTGTATGCCTAATTGCATCTCATGTGGTGTAGTCTTTCTTCAGTAGATACCATACAGACAGAGGTAGGAATTAGGCATATGCAAATGTGGGCATGTTTTATTTTTACAATTATTTATCTTAGAAATATAAGTAATCATTCAAGAACAATGCTAAAATGCTTTCAAAAGTGAGCTCCTAATGGAATATTTTCATCATACTCTTGATTATGTATTGCTTCCATGTGCTTTTCCTTTTTTTTTTAGCTGTTAAGATTTTTTTAAATATATATTTTCTTATTCAAATGTGGACAAAAAAAAATCAAAAACAATTTTATTCTAATAGCATGCTGGGGGGGCGATTTTATGTGGTAACATGACAACCTTTGTTAAAGAGGTTTCCTAATAGATCAGAACACTTTCAAGGACTGACAAAGAGAGTTTACCTGTTGTCCTTCAAGGAACGTTAGGAAGAATAATAGTTTAAAATAAAGAAAAAATCAGAAATATGACAAGAATACATTCAAAGAACTGAGATGTAGGAGACAGTAAGCCCTGCTTTGTTCACCATAGTGCAGATTAGCATAAAAACTGGTTACAAAAATCTGCCCAGAAAAAAATACACGTTAACTGTACATACCTGTTTGATTTATTCATACTTAAATGCGTCAAACGTTTTGTTGCCATCCTGCAACTGTTCCTGCCATCCTGAGTTGGGCAAACCGGCAGCTGGTAACAGCCTCATACTACACATCATTTGCATTGATCATCTTATTTATGTATTTAAACCCAACTTTACTGCCAATATTTACTGTATTTTAATTGTTCCTTAAATGTTTTTATTTATTTGCATCTTCTCTTGTAACTCAGCTTCTGAGTGTGATGTAATTTCAGTCTGTATGTGTGCATTTTGAGTCTGTATGCATGTTTCAACCCAGTGGATGGTAAATGAACAAACTAATTAGACTCCCCTTGGTGAGCCTACTTCTTACTGACTGGTTTATTGGTGTTTGGAGGTAAATTTCCTTCCACTGCTAGACCGGGGATTTTATCTAAAAAAACAAACAAACAAAAACAAAACAAGTGGTTATCAGTAGGGCCTGGACTTTTCGTGGATTTACAAAAATAACACAGTGCCTTTCTGATGCCAAGCTACTGTAAAGTTCCTGTAGAGTTTTCAACAGCACAAAGGCTGGAATGCGGCTTCTGATGGAGATGCTTTTTTAAACTGAGCTACTGATTTCAAATGTAAATCTTACATAGCTAAATGATGAGTTTAGCCGACAAATTAACTTATCAGCAGCAGCCGATTGTCCACTTAGTTTTGTGCCAGTCCCCCTTTTAAATAATCACGACCAAATGACTTTATAATGACTGCTTGCTGAACTTATAACCTCTGAAATGAACTAATAACTGAGTTGTTCAGGTTGACCTTTAGTAGTTTAGGTTAAGTGGTAGTCATTAATGTGTGTGCCTCAACTGGACCTGCTGGTCTAGCCACTTGTAAAAACCATTGTATCATGTGGTTATTTTTTGACTGCTCATAAAGGGTTCAAAAAGGTTGAATGGAGTCAGAGACTGATATAATAATTTCTATATTTTAGCTTTATATTCAGTTCTCGGCCTACTTGTTGCAAAAAACAAAACACAAAACAAGGCAAACAACAAAAAAACAAAGAAAATTCACTATTCGGTGGAAAAAAAAGAAAGAAGCTAATACCAAACAGCAAACAGGTTACATGTGTTGTAGTGTCTATGAGCCGGTGTCATGTAATCTTATTAAAGTCACCATTTCCCATCCAAAAGTAGATGTTAGTTAAACCAGACCTTTTGTTTCCTCCTATCCCTTTTCTTGCACAGCGAAACCCTCTCACTGTGATGTCTTTGGGGATACATAAAAATAACTAAAATCTTTCTTTCCGTGGTGCTCATTTTGAACCCACACAAACCATTTCAATCTTTTTTTAAATGTTTATTTAAGGTTCCAATTCTTCAGCAGTGTGAAATATCTGAAATGACATTTTCTCATGCAAGTATAAACTCCTCCATATATTTCTCTCATTATACTTCAAATCTGCTTTTTACAGTTGTGATATTTTCGTGCACCGGATGAGAAAAGGCATTGACCATAACAACTGGTGTGAATGCAAAAGCATGTTTTGATTGTAGCTATCTTAACAGGATATATGGTCCAACAGGTGTCCTACAGGGACGACCACGTTACAGATTTACTCTCATATCAGATTTTTTTTTTTTCTGTGGCAGCTACACAGAGTGACACTGTACATTCTAAAGGACGATTCATAGTAATGCCCAACCCCTAAAAAATATATATATTTGCCTTCTTTGTTCTTCTTTAATTTTTTCATTGAAGTGATCCTTGCTTTAAATGTATTCACTTGAGTTACGAAATCCGGTGACACTTTCTTGAACAATTTATTAATTTTCCTCTGGAATCTATGGACTACACCTTTTGATTGTTTTCACAGTCCTGTAAGAAGTCAAATATGAATGTGTCTTGTCTGATTTGATTGCTTGCAGTTACGTGACCTTATACAGTAACGGTGTTACGTACGGAATGATGTACAGAGCACCCGCAGTTCATGAAGGTGTTACAAACTGGGTCGTTATATGAGCTTACAGCGGTACGAGACTTCCTGTCGCCAGTTGAGCTTTTTTCATTCAGTACAAAATGCCTTTGCTCTCTTTTTTCTAGTCTGTGGTTTAATAAATTATTGTGTGGAGTATTTTGTCTGGGCCTAATTCATGTCTTACAAGCAAAATTATGTTTTTCTTTATGATATCGATGTTTAACAATGAGGGTGACTCAAACTTTATTTGCATAAAAAAAACAGTCAGGAGGGACAAATTGCTGAGCAATAAAGGAAAGTTCCAGAGTGATGAGCACACATAAACTGTGCTTTTAGTCCATGCTCATGTAGATATCGTAATCACATGATTTGACGTTATTGGAGCAGTAATCTTTAATGCAAAGACTTTCAATAAAAATATCAGGTGAAATTCTGACTTGTACAGTGCAGCGGGCCTGTTCCATATCTAAATGAGGTGGGCTGTGGGAAGCAAGGGTTTGGAGTGTTCTGGTATGGCATTTTAGTACAATCTGACGGGTTGACGCTAGTCTACGTCTAACCTCCCGTTGTGAATGTGCTGTGCTCACGCTAACGCCGGACTGCTAAAGTGGATTAAGTGATCTAAGTGAGGTCTGTGGAGGAGGACGCTCCGCCATTACAGTGAATGATACTCCTGTTGTGGTTTTCCAATCAGCACTTCACACAGCCAAAAGTAGGAGAGAAGGAGGGAAAGGTGGGGATGCAACGTGGGAACGAGCCACCCTACTTCAACGTTTTATATTAAGGGCACTCGCCGCATGTAAATTGCCCACTTTCCCACAACAGGCCACACAACTGCAGGATGGCATTCGCTTTCACGAGCCCGAGGCACGCAGCTGGTGGGTTTGGTTTCAAATACGGCAAAGACAGTATTTCCCTTCTGTTCGCCTGGCCTTGTAGTGCGGAATGCTCTGAATTACCTTCGCAGACTCGACTGTATAACAGATATGAAAGCAGCTTCTGGAAACTCTGAAGGAGGATGAGTGATGGTGTAAATGGCCGCTGCAGTTCTGAGCAGCTCACTGCAAAGGCAATCAGAGGGAATATGAGACAGCAACCTCACTAACAAACCTATGATACACTCATCCTGAGCAGTGGTTTGGAGAGAATGCAAACATCGATACAGCAATACTACAAACATATCCATGTTTGCCGCCGGTGCCGGTTGACTCTCGTATGTACAGGGCTGTGTAAACAAGATGTAAACATGTGTGCGCTTCAACTTGAAAACGCAAATAACATCTGATCTCCATTCAGGTGGAACATATTCTCATCCAGAAAACCACACGCACGGCATACAAAGGGGCTGTTTCTTACGCTGTGTTGTTTTTTTGTGCGGTTAAGGCGTGTGTGTGTGGTGGTTATGTTGAGAGGGTTAGTCAACAACATTATTTTATATGCATTGACAATATTTCCATCCATCCTGTATATGAGCTGAACAGTAAGTCATTTTGTGAACATTCTTCTGTGTGTCTTCATTTCCCTAAAGACGCACGGTGCACAAAGGGGCAATTTCCTCCATAACCAGCAGCATTTTTCACACATAGACACCTGAGTAGCAGCTGAAAACAAAGCACAGTTGTGGCCTCTTAATAAAGAACCTTTCAAAAGCAACTGTGTCAGAAAAAAAAAGTGAATTTCACACTTTTTTCCACACCTTTTGAAGTAATTAATGAACTAACAAGACAGATCAACTCTGGAAATTGTGGAAATGCAAAATTTGTCACAATTAGTGAATTTTGTCTACTCCCTTACTGGATAATTCAACTGCAAAAGGTGCCTTTTGGGAAAGCTTCCTGATTTAGAGAGGCTCCTTTGTAGGTTGTGCATTCAGCGTATTATGTTGTATTTCGATGAGATTAGACACATGCTGTATTTGGCTCATATGGTCACGGCCATGTACGTTGCATTTGGATACTGCATATCTGACTCACTATTGTTACTCGCCTTCAATTTTTTTTTTACCTGACAAGCACCATGACATCATTGGAAGAGGCTAGAGGAGTGTACATAGGAGGGAGCACATCCTTGTTATCCGGCATGGTAAATTTGACAGTGATCCTGTAATGGGATGAATGACGAATTCGAAGAAGCTTTGTATCTTGGCACGATTCTGTGGGACATTTCTTGCTCCAGCTGATGTTGCTAACAATTTCCTGCCCTGTTACAAGGAGAACTGATGATTAATTCATGTCTCTGCCATCTTAACGAGGTTGTGCCCGTTAGTGGGCGGGAAGGAGAGGAGGGGTACACACTCCGCTGTGCTTTGATATCCCACGTTTAAGGCTGTGTCACACATTAATGACTTCTTTGAGCTGTGAAACGAGCATCATTATCTCCCTCCAAAACGGGAAGGATGGGAGATTTCGGGTCTGCCTGTATAAAGAGAAAGAGGAGGAGTAATTTATTGTGTATGTGTGCATTTGCGCACATATTTCGTGTGTCTTGGTGAACGTGCAATTTGAGAGACACTTGAGTACAGCAAGTTGCACCTGAGGCAGAGGAAGGAGAAGGCATCTATTGCCACATTTGAAAAGACACAAATCAACAATTTATTCAAACTGAACTAATTTAATTGGATTCAGTTAATTAATCACAGCCATGCAGTTCCATATCTTTATTTAAAAACTGGTTAACATAAACTCTTTTTGAGTGCTATATCTCCCTTGTCTGCCAACATATGTTTCCATGTTGGGGAACACAGATTGTTTTTGAGTGACTCAAATTTGGAGAACATTATTACCAGCCCTTTATAATTATTGCTCAAAAATGTAAGCCGTTTCAACATGAGACCAGTTCACTTCAACCTCAGGTCAAAACATGGATGGATAATCAATCATAACAGACCTTATTCAAAGCAGACATGTTGGTGAATTTAGGTTAAAAAAAAGACAATTCAGGTTAAAAGGTAAAAAAAAACTGAAGGTCCAGTTTGTTGTCAGTCGTGCCATTGACAGAAATTCATTGCTATATTAAAAACTACAGCATGTTTCCATTAGTTTAGACCCAACATTACAAGAACTCAGACACTGACCAAACTGAAAAGCTGGACAGTTATATTGGGTTTTCATTAAAGTCATCTTCGAATCAATGGTAAAAACGATGGTGACTTTCTATTGTTATTGTCCTTAGGAATTTGTGGGTTGTTGTTTTTGTTTGCAACTACTCTCAGTAATATTTTCTGCTCAGAGGCAGCTGGGATAGGGTGGATAGTTTCCTCTGTTTAGTACCAAAATCTTGTAGTTCTTTACTGCCTTTACCAAATTCGTTGAGTCAGTTTTTGGTGTTGGCAATTTGTTCTCCTTTTGATCATCTGTAACATCAGTGCTTTAAAAAAAAAAAGGTTTTTAATAAAAAAGAAATTAATTAAAATGTTTTTTGCTTACTTCTCTGATTCTGTGTTTGGGTAAGGCAATCCTGACATCTCGAGATCCAATCAGATTAGAAATTACCTCATAATCTGAAATCTAATTACAGGCATTTTCAATAAATGTCATGAGCAAACCACGCTTAGTTTCCTTCTCATGCAACAAACGTGCTATTCAGCTCTGCTTCTGTACTCATCTCCCAACATATTCCGGCTATTCTTTTTTTTCTTTTCAAAAGAGGCTTTTCATGCTACAACATCTATTCTGTCACTTCATGGTCACGGCTGTGAGGAGTTCAAGGGTGACAGAAAAGTAGAGAGGGCTGAATGAGTGAGAGGGTTTAAGTTCACAGGCAGAGTGGAGGATTGTACATTCCCTAAGAAAACAGGAGCAGCCATTTGAGAGGAGGTCACGGACATTTCTTTGCATGCTGATAGAATAGGTGGGAGTGTTGGAGGAGCGAGGCCTCTTAAAACCAAATGAACTAAAAGCTCTTAGTTTGAATGCTCTTCAGCTCGCACTCTGCCAAAGGTACTCAAGCTCAAATAAAGCGCTCGGGTCAGAAGGGATATTTTTTTTAAGCTTTTAGGCTAACTCTGATTCCCACTTAAAGCCAACTTTAGTTCCCATTTTTGAACAAGACCAGGCCTTATTCTGCCTACTTTCACAGTTATTGTATTTTGCTGTCAAAGGGATTTTTTGGTGTGTGTGAAATGCCTCAGATATCAGTGCATTACACTGTGAAACTACCACCACATTATCTGTGAAACAAAAAAAAGACAAAACCAAAAAACATACACTACAGAATTGTTTTAAATGATTTAACTTTTATTATCTAAATCTATCCAAATGTTAGCCATGTTTGATGAGCTGATTTAGAATATGAAATAGTATGTTTGCCTCACATGATGACGTTTTCTGGCACATGAGGAAAAGCACTAAATGGTCTGTGAGATCCTGCATAATAAAACTTATTGAGTGTGTGTAACTAGTGGAGTGCCTTATAAATAGAGTCCACTTAACATAACCCAAGTAAATGTATCATATACCTGTTATTACAACACAAGACAGATGTAGTGCTTTTGTATTCCACATGGTGGCAGGTTTTGTATGGGATGCTTCAGGGTTCAGTTTGACTGGTTTCCAGTTTATCAGTCAACCCACATTATATTTCTTTCCTTTATTCTTGTATTTCTAATTGGAAATACTTTCTTAATCTAAGTCCATTACAGCCAAAAAACTGTTCTGTAAATTACCTCTCTTTCTCATGAATAGGAGATAATAAAAAAGGTGCCTGTCGTGAAATTTGAAGAAAAAAAAAACAAAAAAAAAACAGAATTAGATATTTGTTATTCTGAAAATGTAGAACTCTAATTCTTTGAAAAAGGTTAAAAAAACTTATAATAACTTTCAGATATGTGCAATAGATATGAAGTTATTCACAGACACATTTGTTTTGAGTATTAAAAGAAGTCAAGTTACACACCCACTTTTTTTGGTCTTACTATGGACACATTTTAGATTTGACCTACAATTATTGCACATTTGAATACTTTCTATATATGTAATCAAGATGTAGTTGATCTCATAATAAAAATAAAGGATCCCTTTTTGTTTATTCATCGTTTAAATATTTTTTTTCATAACGGCTGAAAAACATCACTTAAAACATTGATTTATTAAAAATATTTTAATAATAAACAGCAGGTGGCGATGTACCACGCTCCCTCCTGCAGCACTAACAACAGAAGAAGACCGACGCTAGGTTAGCTCGCAAGCTAGCACTTGTAAATTCACGTTTGGGTTGCTTTGAGAGTCAAAATGCTCTTGCAGTCTGTCAGGCCGTGGCTGCTTCGCTGCAGGAGCATCCAGCTGGCTTGCACCAGAACTTATCACGCTGACACAGTGGCTCGACTCGGCTCTCGACCAGATCAACAGTCCTCTGAATATAAGGTAGGTTAGCCTGCCGCTAAAACCTGCTAGCCAAACTGTAATGCTACAATTCGAGTCGGTGCTAATAGCGGAGTTCATCCAGGTGGGCACACTCACAGGTGACAGAAAAAGATGGAAAGCGTATGAATGTCTCCTTTTGTTCATATGTACGGTACAATGTTGTTATCCATATTCGTTAGGAAGCCTCATAGAGATTGATGTTAGAGGTCAATACCTCTAAAAGCTAAGGGTTTGGCATCCCCAAAGGAGAAAACAAGGCTTTTGTGATGATTGTCTTACCATGGAGTCGAAAACAGTTTTGTGGAGTTTGGGGAGGCTAAATGGCGGATTAAAAGTTAACGTAATAAGTAAATAAACCTACATTTTCAATGTTTTCTTTTTATATTCGAAGTGGCCATAAAGGTAAATCGGCGCAAAAGAGCAATGTTTGAAGATTGTGACTTTTGGATCTATTATATGTGAATATATTTAGTATCCTCAAGTTTAAATCACAGTCTACTTTGGGTAGCTGTCCTCACCCAACTATTTACCTTCTCCCAGTGATGAACCACTGAGAGCATAAGTTCACTAGATGGCAGTAGAGACACATTCTATTTAGAAAGACCTTTCTCAGGAAGGTTAACATAACAGGAAGTCAGCTCCATAATTTCTATAGGTGTGTTTTGAATGTCCACTCATTTGTTTTCAATAAAGCTAAATGAATTACAAATTTCCTGCATGAATCTGGATGGTGTGTTAAGGCTCACTTAGTATTTGGAAAAGCTGTGTTAAGATCACTGCTAAGGCTGACATTGTTTAGTTACATTGTTAATCAACTCCATTTCTCTCAGTTTAAAACAGTTATTTGCTACATGTTGAGACAGTGTTTGGGAAGTCTATGCTCCACTCGATGGTCAGCAGCTCTCCCACTGAGTCGAAATCAGAGCAGCAGCTCTAAACTCGAGCTCTTTCACACGAACAGAACAGCGTGAACAGAGTCTTGTTGTTTTCCAGGAAAACTATGAGCGAATGAAAGTTCTTGTGGATGAACTGAAAAGCCGGGCGGAGAAGATTAAATTGGGTAAGTTGGAGCAATCCACACGGCACCACACATAAATCCATCATTTTACATTTAGACGCTCCAGTAATCAGGATCCAGTAGCAGGTGATGGTTATTAACAAAAAGTGCTCTTTACGCTCCAAACTGTGGCATGCTCATACTTCATCTGCTGTCATTATTAGCACATGAAAGTGTAATCAGTGTGCAAATGTTAGCTGTGGCCTCAGTAGACTATGTCTGATATTCCTCTAAGTTTGAGTTGGGTCAAAAGTGGGAATTGGTTTAGATAGGTCGGATCACTGTGACACATGCAAAAAAACTAACTTGAACCAAAAGTAGAGTAGCCAAAGAGCTGGCAAACCTTTTTAACATGTGATATTAAATAAACTTATCCAGGTGGAGGCGAAAAGGCAAGGCGACTCCACACCTCTCGAGGCAAACTCCTTCCAAGGGAGCGCATCGACAAACTGCTGGATCCAGGGTGTGTCTGTTATATCTCACAGTCTTTATACTCTTACCTGTTAACGGAAAAGGAGGGTAGCATTGCATGTATACAAATTTGCATGGGCTGCTTTAAAATTGTTCTTTTTTCCATTTGGCATCTTCCAGCACTCCTTTTTTGGAATTCTCCCAGTTTGCGGCATATGAGCTGTATGGAAAAGAGGAGGTACCAGCTGGTGGTATAATCACAGGGATTGGCCGGGTTTCAGGGTAGGTTCTATGGACATTTGTGATATTCACCAGGTTGTTTGCTTAGTTTTCACTTTCTCAACAAATAACAGTTTCTTTAGTTAGACTTGACTTTCTTACAGTCAAGTCTTTGATTTAAAAACTTGGTTTTTCATGGTTTCCATTTCAATTTCTCCAAATCGACCCAAATATATTTTTGCTTTTGTTTTGCCCAAGAGTGGAATGTGTAGTCGTTGCAAATGATGCCACGGTCAAAGGGGGAACATACTACCCAGTTACAGTGAAGAAACATCTTCGTGCTCAAGAAGTAGCCCAGCAGAACCATTTGCCATGCATTTATTTGGGTGAGTATCAAAAATAATTTACAATATGAGTCCTGTTTGATTCCAAAGAAAATATGTATTTCAGTACTCTTACATCATGATATTTATGCTTGTATGTTTAGTGATTAGTGAAATTGAGGTCCTTCTTTTCCACCAAGCCTTCTTTTGTCATTACTTTGGACATATGGAGATAATATAGCCACATGCTGACAATGATATCATCTAAACATGTTCTGGTCCCCTCCAGTTGATTCTGGTGGAGCCAATCTACCCAGACAGGCCGATGTCTTTCCAGACAGAGATCACTTTGGACGCATTTTTTACAACCAGGCCAGGCTGTCTTCAAAGGGAATTTCCCAGGTGATGCTCCCGTTCGGTTCAGAGCTTTCTATTTCACATGTTGAACATATTCTTATTTGAACTGTGTCCGTTAACTCTTAACCTCCTCTTGCACGCCATCAATTATCATAGCCTGTTGTCATTTAAAACAATTAGCCTTGCGTTTGTTTTGTGACCACATTAGTTCATTTTGGCCGAAAAAATACTGTGAGAAATATTAATAGCCTAATGCAGAGATTTTAAATTTATTTTCAAAAGGTAGCTTAAAAATCTATCTTACCATACTTCTTTGTTGGTCAAAGTCAGTTTTTTTTTTTATAACTGCAGTGATTCCAGCAGTTAAGTGACATAGGTTAGTGCTTTAGGAGTCAAGCAGAAATAACTCTCCATTCTAGGAGTCTGTCCAATCAGAGCTCATTTTAACCGAAGCAGAATCGTAGATCTGAAATCACAAAAACCCCACAGAGGACGTTAAACAAGATGTCTCTTTCAAGCTGGGGAATAAGTTACCAACATTGATCAACTGCGCAGCTTACATTTTCATGGTTGCTAAGAGCCATAAAGGATGCAGCTCAAATTTAAGCAGATCGCCCTAGTTCCCACAAATGCTGCCATCTATAGTAGACACACACAGCCCTGATAAAGGCAGGACAGTTAGTCATCCTGTTAGCTTGGGGATTATGCATCTTAATACATGCAGCATTTTTTAGACCTGTCCCGTTTTGAGCACAGAATTTAGCCCCTACACAGTTTTTTTTTTTTTTGATCTTGTTAATTTAGTTTTAGCTGTTAATATTTTGAGAAACCTTTTTCCTCATTGTGATGTTTAGTATACTCTCTCCCAAAACTTATTGTGTTAAGACTTATTCATGTTGTGTGCCTGAGACTTTGAAATTTGTGGTAGTAATAGCTAAGTGGCCATAAGTTCCACCTGAGAGCTTTTAGAGCTTCTCCTGGATCTATGCCACTCTGTTAGATAACGCAAAAGGATGATTTATCACCATCTTCAGTGTGCTAATCTTTTGTGGATGTTGATCTTTTTTTTTTCTCTCCAGCGAACGAGTGTGTAGTAGGTTATATTTTCCCACTAGATAATTGAACTTTTGCTTTGTGTCAGACTCAAGCTGCGTTCCCTTTGAATAATTCGCAGCCTGTAACCTGACTCTAACTCTCTCTAACCCTGTCAGATTGCTGTTGTGATGGGCTCCTGCACAGCTGGAGGAGCGTATGTGCCAGCCATGGCAGATGAGAGCATCATTGTGCGGAAGCAAGGGACCATTTTTCTTGGAGGACCCCCACTGGTTTGCTTTTTCAATATTTTAAACTGACCATTCAAACATCAAACTGTACATAGTCTGGGTTATTGAAGTGGTATTTCATGTTGCATGTAGACATTTTAGCTGTAGAAATAAGCTGTGTTAACTCCAGGGAAGAGAAAGTGTTACAGGGAATAATACGCTCCATTTCTATTGTCAGGTTAAAGCTGCCACTGGGGAGGAGGTTTCTGCTGAAGACCTCGGTGGGGCTGATCTTCACTGCAAGTATGAACACAGAATTCTCGGTGACCTTTGCTGCATGTGTTGTATACTGACAATCCTCCTAATGTCTGTTGATCGCTATAACACCAACATCTTCTGCAATTTCATATAAAGGGGTCCTCCGAATGTTATCAGAGCCCTTTACAGTAGAAGATGAATCTACTTTTGTCGGTCCTTTGCATTTATCCAAATGTTGCCATACACATAGAGGCTGTTGTCTCATTTGAAACGTGTGATATTTGATCTCGTATAATGCCCTCATTGATAAAAAAAAATCCATATCTTCAGATATTGATTAGTTGCCTTCTCTTTTTAAACAGAAAATCTGGTGTGACAGACCACTACGCTTTAGATGATTTCCACGCACTCCACTTAGCAAGGAAAGCAGTGCGAAGTCTCAACTATAGAAAAAATCTTGAGGTGAGTTCAGTGATTACTTAACATTTAACATCAGTTCACCTTCTGATACAGTCTTTTGTATTTTCAGGTTACCGTGGAGCCCACTGAGGCTCCCCTCTACCCCGCAGATGAGCTCTATGGCATAGTCGGAGATAACTTGAAGCGGAACTTTGATGTCAGGGAGGTAAGCGTGTTGCATTTTGGATTAAGGGAGCAAGGTGAAAGCTTGAGGCTGTGGTTGGAAAATGTGCTTTTTTTATGAAGTGATATGTTCCTGTAAGTGAGATTTTTTTTGCCATAACGCTTTTGAAGTTTCTCCATCATGATAAGCTGCAAATAATTCCCTGTCCCCATTCAGATGGCTAAGTAGATGCAATGATTAAAAGTTAAACGTGTGCCAAGCGGAGCAATACCATAAATTTAATTGATGTGTCATAATGTTAGAAAAAGATAGAATTATTTATAGACACAGCTTCAGATTACCACGGATCCATAAGCAAGATTTATGAATGGACCACACAGGTATGACTTTTACAGGTTCAGAATGCAATTTAAGCAATACTTAGCTGTCAGGTCGTCGTGTCAGGCACCGAGTCAATAAAGGCGGGCTGGCATCAATCACTTTGTTTTTCTTCTCCCAGGCTGTGCCGTAGCCTTTGATTCTTGATGGAGACTCGGGAGCAACAATCACTGTTAACTCGAGAGATACCAAAGTGTTTGTAGTGCAGAACGATATTGGCAGTCCATTTAGGTCTCGGGATCAACCATCTGGTCCCCGTTTACAGCCCACTCAGCACAGGGGTGTGCTCAAAAGTCCCTAAAAAGCTTTTTTTAAGGGAAAATGCACCACAATTGTCAGTCCTTGTCACCATCCTGTGTTTTATCTCACATTTCGGGACTTTTACGACTTGGCTTATGCTCATTGGGTTGCAGGTCATTGCTAGAATTGTGGATGGCAGTAAATTTGATGAGTTTAAGGCGTTCTACGGAGACACGCTGGTCACAGGTGAATGGATTGACATTTCTACAGTCTTTTTTTGTTCCCCTCTATCCACCTGCATTTACATTTCATCTCTAATTTTTGTTTGTGCAGGATTTTCAAGAATATTTGGCTACCCCGTCGGAATCATTGGCAACAACGGAGTCCTGTTTTCAGAGTCTGCCAAAAAGGTAATCACCCTGCGGACCCAAAGTTAGATTAAATGGTGAAGCAGTTTCTTTCTGGATGTGATAAATGGATTGCAGTCAAAGTCTGTGCACTGTGGAAAGCCGAGCCCCATGATCACAGAGATGAGTGAGCATTATAATAGTTATGCGCCTCTCAAAATGTCAAGGGCCTAAAATACAATGCTGGGTCTTATCAGATGGTCATCTTCAAAGAGATTAGTTGCTTACAACACTGAAAACCAGCATTTTTTTCTCTTTAGTTTTCCTAGATACAGGGCATTAACCTTTTACAGTCACTGTGCAGAGTTCCTAACAACACAATAAGCTCTGGAATTACGCTTGTCTGCGTCGTCTCACAAGTGCTCTGGTGAATGGAATTTGATATAATATAATAACATAGCATTTGGAAACCATGGACAAAGGACAATGATAATTTTCATTCTGTATAATTCGCTTAATTTGCAAACCAATTTGCTGCAAGCGGAGCTGAACTTTACACAGGCTCAGGGTAGACGGGGAGCCGAATTTGTGATTATAGACTAATAAGTTTTTCCAAACACGGTTTGAATTAGATTACAAGCCTGATTCTTTCTTCTTCTTCTTCTTTTTTTTCCAGCCCTTCTGTAAGGTCTCCACATGACAGTAGAGGCTGGGGCTATCTGAGTGTAATTATTGTCAGACAGGACTGGCGGTGCCTCATAGACACAGATATTGAAGAGACACGCTTGAGGCCCATATTCAAGAAAAATCAATACAGCACCTGGGCTTCAGGATGCATTTATAGACATGCTCTCATCACTTAAGATAGGCCTGAGCTTCAATTAGACCTGATGTTAAACAGTTTAACAGCTTCTCCCCTGGTATTTCTGCCAGTAAGGAGGCGATTCGAGGGAGAAAAGTATCAGCTTTCTTTGTTGTGCATGCAGTTAGGAGCAATCTGCTGGGTTTCTTTCACCGGTTAATAGCTTCAAATAGTCAGCTGCATGTTGCGCTGCCTCAAAATTGTGTTTACACTTTTGCCGTGGGAGCCGGGCTGTGACACTGAAAGACAGCCAACTGAAGTAACTGCCAAAAAAAGGGAGCACCTGAGTAATTCTGCGTATGGAAACACAGTGCACAGACTCTTTCACCCCCTTTCCTTTGAATAGGTCTTGCTGTTCGGCACCACTGAATGACAACAACTTCCATCCTACTCTCAGTATAATGTAGCAGATACAAAGCCGGGTGACTTCCCCACCAAAGTAACTCATTTCTGTCTGAGCTTGTCTTGGATGAAGATGATGATTCAAATGGAGGCTTCCAGCCCAGTGTATTAAGCTATTTTCCCTGGATTTTTTTTTTTCTATCGCCAGAAATCAAACAAAAGGGTTAAAGCATCTCTAAAGGCAACATTTACAGCTTCCCGCGAGCACACAAAGTCCAGATGTGACCCAAATTGGATAGTTTTAGTGGGCTATTGCCCAGCCGCTAGCTCAAGCACTTCAGCTTGTGTATATACGTGCCTCGAATCATTGAGTTGAAGTTTGTATGCTTCTTTGTTTATTGAAATACGTGTGAGTTTCCACCTCCTGGCTGTTTTCCATTGAAGGAATTATTTGATTTTCGTTTCAGGGGACACATTTTATCGAACTATGCTGCCAACGCAACATTCCACTTATTTTCCTTCAAAACATCACAGGTTTGTGTAAATACTTCCGCATTATTGACATTACTGACTTTTTTCGGATGTTTATTCAGCTGATTATTGCAGATTGACACAAAAAAAAAAAACGATAGGAAAAGAGATAATGTTTCACATCTTGAGCCGAGGCAGGATGACATGACATGATGTGCAGAACTGGCCCTGTCCCTCGAGATAACGGCCCGGCTCGGTTTGCACTGTCTATCTCACCTGTACATCTTCATCTCAGGCTTCATGGTGGGAAGGGAGTATGAAGCGGGAGGGATTGCCAAGGATGGAGCCAAGATGGTGACGGCTGTCGCCTGTGCCAATGTACCCAAGATTACTGTTATCATTGGAGGCTCCTACGGAGCGGGCAACTACGGCATGTGTGGAAGAGCTTACAGGTACACAGGAGCTCTCTGCTGTAGGGTGGAGAGATTGGTGGCAAAAAATAAGTACAAAATGTTCTTTGCCGCATGTTCAGTGCGAATGAATATGCCTTTTCCCCTTGGATTATTGGAATGGAAGTGACTTTGACCTTTAGCATCGCCAGCAACTCCATGTTGGATTTATTCAGTGCTGAATGTATAAGCTTGAGCAACATTATCAGTCTGACTCAGAATTTTCTGGCATTTATCACCTTCCGGATGTGCTTTGTTATTCTGAACCATGTCATAAATAATAATATGTACATGTTTTTTTGCACCTTTCCCTAGATCAGTAACATGAGTCACTTTCTCCATGTTTTTCTTATTGGCTACATGCATTTCTTTAGTATAAATTTGAATAAGCTCAGTTTTTCATCATTTGAGAAAAATTTACTGTCATATTTTAACTTTCGCCTTCATGAATGATGACTTCACAGATGAGGGTTTGAGGCAATTTGTCTGGCTCAGCAAACTGAAGGAAATTGATAGTGTGTCTAATTTAACAGCCCCAGATTCCTCTACATGTGGCCAAATTCCCGGATCTCGGTAATGGGCGGTGAGCAGGCAGCCACGGTCCTGGCCACCATCACTAAAGATCAGAGGGCACGCGAGGGAAAGGAGGTAATGACTTCCATTAATCGTCCCATCTGTGCTTCACTGGAAAGGCATAAATTGGCTGTGGTTGATTTGCTGCCAAAAGCATAAACATTATAAAAGCTTCTTTTCTTTTTCTTTTTTTTCCTTTTTGTCGTTCATTATTGGTTCTACATGGCAGGACGAAATTCTATCAGTGTTAAGTGTTACTGATGTCTTATTCTGACTACCGCAGACATCAAATGGCTGTAATTAAAGCGTGTCAGGTGTGCTCGTACGGTTGTATTAACAATGTGTAATTGGCTCCAGAATGACACCTCACATCAGTGCCCAGATGACAGGGGTTTTATTTAATGATCTCTGAGATGTCTCAACATAAAAACAGCGGCAAATCCTAATTATGAGTGCGTTTCTGTCCAACTTGAATATCCCCTCTATGTTGCGGCACCCCTTGCTGTAATTAGTCAGCGTGTCCTGACGGGTGAATATGGGTGAGTTTGTCTCATGCTGTCTGCAGGCAAATGCTGTGAAATGCATCTCATTCAGCAGCGTGAAGACAAAAGCTCGTCCAGGGCTTCGCTGTGTCTCGTCGGGTAGTAATCGTTGCCCTGATTGGATGGGGTGGTTAGGTTTCAGTTCTAAACTTGATTATATTTCTATTTATATATATATGTACTTTGTGATACCCGTCAGAAGATTCAAGTGCTGGCCCTTTTTTCTGGATCCTCAAAAATCGGGGTTGAAATAAGGTGATACCAACTGTATTTAACTGACATTTAGTCCTTAGACCTTAGTTTTTGATCTTGGATGTGGCTAAACTGGACACTAAAGCATAAAACGGCTTCAAATTTCCTATCAGCTAGTGGAGCCAGAGCTTCTCCACGTCTTAATAAGATCTGATGATTATCTTTCCTCTCTGGGACCTGAAGCACAGCGGCGAGGGCGCCTCATTAATTGTGGACTTATCAGCCGGGCCGGCTGCGTTTCAGGAGGTTCCAGACGCTAGGTCAGGGTGCAAACAGCTATGGCGGTACCTCATCTGTCCAGCTACTGAAGTGTTGTGATTGTGCATTTGAAGTCCCTCTCAGTGTACTTTATTCTAATTGCTTCCACGTCTTTGTTTTCTCCCTTTGCGCTTGAACATCTTTTATCGTGCCAAGTGCGCAACTGTGTTACACAGCCGTGGTCAGATACTGCCGTTTTGTGTTGAGCGCTCTTGTTAGTGTACAAATGCTAATTGTTCCCATCCACATGGTGATACATCTGAGAATCAGGACATTTTCACACCTCTGATATGAAGCCTCCTTTAACTCTGGTTTCCAGCTCTTCCGGTTGCATCGTTACAGTCTTATTAAGGGAAATTGCTGGTTAGAATAAAGACAGAGGATTGTTGTGAACACCTAATATGATAACAAGCTGTCTGTCACAGGCTGGCTTCACCCAGTCAGAAACAGCGAGGCTAATTTGTTTATCTGGTTTGATAGTTTCTGTGATGCGAGTCGGTCTGTCTCATATACGGAATAGAAGCTTTAGCATTTGCTCAGCGTTTTTCATTATTTTCCCCTTTTCCCTGAAGATTCGGTCCGGCCTTTCCAAACTGATGAAACCGGCTCGCCCTTCATTACGAATGAAACGGCTGTGTGCTTTCAGCTTTACATTTCACTACACTTCCAATAACTCGGGCAACCTTTTAAAATGCTTCTGACTCAGGTCCTAATAGCCACATTTTGTTTTCTCATCTTGTTCACAGTTCACAGCAGAACAAGAGGCTGCCATGAAAGAACCAATTGTGCGGCGATTTGAAGAGGAAGGCAGTCCATACTACTCCAGTGCCAGGTGGGTCATGCTTAGACACATCATACATCGTACATCATCCCAGGCAGGTGTATAATGGAATAAATGGATATACAGCAGGGGCCCGGCATAGAGGTTTTTCTTTTCCTTTGATCTGTCTGAACATGGTTTTCTTCCAGTGAAGCTATCGGGGAAGGGTTGATTACAAAAAAGAATCTTTGGCTTGATAAGACCTGTATTTTCTTTTCTTTTTTTTTTTCACAAACTGAGAAATAACAAGGCAGACTTTATGCTTGGGGACTGATGTGTGAAGTGTGTTTTGTTTCCCTCAGATGTCCTGTTGCTTTCATTCTCTTTTCATTTAGTCCTGTCGGCTGCGCTCATTGTTTCTGTGAGGACGGCAGATGTCAGATGATGGAGTTCTTAGAAATATCATCTGGTGGGAAATTGTACATCGCTAGCACTTCAGCAAAAACAATTACAATTAGACAGCTTCAGATTAACTGTGAAGGAGCTTCACTGAGATTGAAAACCTAACAGGTGCCTCGGAGCCAATGCAGAGCTCAAGGAGAAGCTCAAGGAGATCTTCAGCCTATATGCTGACATATAGGCTGAGTCTGTTGTTTTGCTGCTTTAATATAAATTAGTTTCTTTCTTTTAACTTCTCCATGTGCAAGAAGTGTTGCATATTAATGCTATTTGTCTGGACCGTTATGAGTCGTCTCCCCAAGAAATTAGGAATGAACATCAGCTCAGTGATGAGACAAAGCTAAAGCTACCAGTTCCCAACAAACCCCAGAACATAGGGAGACTCCAGACCCCAGAATAAGATAATTATCTTTAGCTGACATTTAACGAGTCAGGTAAGACCAAACGGTTAGTTTTTGGTGGGTACACCTTTAAGTCCCATATCTGGAATTCTCAGTTTTGATTTTGAAAACGTGAAAGTGTTTCCTGTCTCAGATTGCCCACCAAGCATGGCCATCAATTCTGGATCTGTCTGTGGCAGTTTGATATGACTTCTTTTTAGTTTGTTTGTTTTCAGAAAAGGGACGTTTTAGGTTGATCAGCTCACGAATAAAGTAAAGCTTCTACATCTCTTGCTGCCTAGCTTTAGTTTCCTATTCATGTCCTTGCTGAACTAAATTTAAATCTATTGTTTTGGGGACTTTGACTTTTTTGTGTACCAGGAAAGTTGTTATTTTCATAGCTCTCATTAAGACTCAATAATGATGTTTAGCAACCACCTGTAAATGTGAATAATCCATTTCAGAGGAAGTTGGATTGCAATACTGCGACTTGTCATTGCACTTTAAGGGAGGAATTTTAAACCTGGAAATCGGCACAAAGAAAGGCATCACGAAAATGAGTTGTAATATGACATTGAATAATGCGAGGCTCTTGATTTTGTTCACAGACTGTGGGACGACGGCATTATTGATCCCGCTGACACTCGTCTGGTTTTGGGACTGAGCCTCAGCGCCGCTCTTAACGCACCAACAAAGAGGACTCGTTTTGGGGTTTTCAGGATGTAATGCTCATGTAAGCGTGTAGAGGTACTAACCTTTGATTTGCCCAGGTTTTGTAGTTCGATGTGTGATGTGTCACCAGATTAAGAGGAACACGAAAGAAAAAAAAAAACTATCACAAAAGATGGAATCACTCAGCCCTGGAGACTTGGGGATGTGGTTGGATGTGGTTGTGGAACATTTCCGCTGTAAAGTTGTGCCTTAACTGTTACTCCTCCTCTGTAAATGAAACTGTAATTATGATCCCATGTCCTTTAGCGTATTTGGGTTTTTATCACTTATTACTAATTAAATAAAAAAAGACAGACGAAAAATTTTGCATTTTTTTCTTATCTTCCCAAAACACCAGAAAAATCAAATATGCATGAAAATCATGTTTCATAAGGGGGCACTGTTTAGTCACAAATATAAAGATATCTTGTCCAGAAAAACATTTTAGATGGTTTTTACTTTCAAAGCGGATTTAATCATTTTTTAAAATACGAATAAATGTATCACTTTGCATATAATAGGTTATAGTGGACATAAATAGGGTGTCCTCATCAGGGATGCAGATAATTTCCTGTGGACCACAGTTTCACCACAGAGACTTTACTTTTACCAGCTGGTCCTGTCCTTTTCCCCTCAGTCCAATCCCCTTTCCTTTCTGTTTCATTAGATTATTCTCTTTGAAAGAACAATATTATGTTTCCACCTTTGTATACACCAATGCAGCCAACAGGGAGTCTGACTTTCTCTCCTCCATAGGCCGGGGATTTGATGCATTCTCCTACCAACCAGATGCTTAAAATACTTAACTGGAAGTCCTTCATGCTTCTCTGTGAGTGACTGAGCGGCCGGTCCACTGGGGGCTGTGCAGAGGCTCACCTTATGGAGAACAGGAATAACTCGGGGCGTAATGTGAGCGGAGGATGCGTGTCTGCGGCGCCCACACATCTCCAACCACCACTCTTCAAACCCGGCCTCACGGTTATGCCTTCATCGTGCACCACAGTGTTACCGCGGCAGGCTTCACACAGCCGCATGGGCGAGTTATTTGGAAATAGCCAGATAGGTTCTGAAACCAAATGATTCAGAAAACTGTATGTTGTGTGTTGTCGTCGTGACAAAGGAATCGGGCTGGAAAAACGCGGAAAATTGACCGACCATAGTAATTAGAACAACCGGTGATTTACTCTGTCTTTGTTGTCGGCGGTGATGTTTGAATGCTTTTAATAGGAGCAATAATCATTCACAGCGTGGCTCTCGGTGTCTGACAGGAAGGCTGAGTTTATCCTTTTGTCTGGCCAGATTATCTGGCAAGCTTTCCATCTGGTGAGGAGCCATTTGTCCTCAAAGTTCGGTCTGTCTTTCTCTACCCTGCATTAAAAAGGAGTTTGGACAAATTGTCCGACTCTCATCAACACCACCAAGAAGATAATTTGTTCTCAGAGGAACTGAATTTCCTTTAGAGAGCTGTTTTGAGCTGAAACCACTGAAACTTCTCAAACATGGCTTCTTCCAGTCAGGGGGGGCATTACCAATGTTTTAACATCTGTACACATCACCGTCATGTGCATCCACCGTGCAGCTGACGCCACTCCGGATATTCATGAAGTGTTCATTGTGTTTTTGAAAACCAGAGCAGAAGAGCTGGAAACATCATGGGAGCTTTGCAGCCTTCAGCAGAGGGGCTTAATCGAGGGGAATCGCAGCGCAGGACAGAATGTCAGCCCGCGTTAGCCATGAGAGACTGGCCCGCATGCTATCAGATAAGTGCTCAGAATGTCAAGATGACCAAATATCTCAGGTGCCGACAAAGAGATTTGGATTCCCGAAAAGACCCTCTGAGAGCTCTTTAACCAGTCATTTGACAACTCCTTCTGCTTTTCTCTTTTATAGTTTTTCTCGTCATTTGTATCAAATTCTCATAAACATGAACTATATGGCTTAAATAATCTATTTCTTATTTGTCTTAAAGTCCTAGTTTTGCCTAGCTAGTTTGTTCCACTTTTCTATCTGTCTTGCAACAAAAAAACAGACCATACATGCATACGTATTGACTTCTGCATCATTGGTTCAGTTATATTAGTTCATTAGTTTATTAATTCAATTCATATCAAGTCTTTTTCACAGCAACCTGAATTAGTATAGTATAGTATAGTATAGCATAGTTTCGTAAATGTAAACACATGATAAGAAAAATAGCAGTAGTGGAATGTAACAGATGAATTTACCAAAGTACATTTCTAGCAATAAGTCCAATTATGAGATACGTGTACTATAACTTTGGCTGACTATGTCTTTCATTCCATTATACTTCCCTCCACTAGACTGCAGCTCAAAATATTGTACTTTATTCATGAGTTGTGTTTAAACTAAATATTTCACATCTTCTCAAAGACGAGGCAGTTTTAGTTCTGACACTCTGAAAAGGCGTTATATTGTTAAGTTGCTAACAGCTCCCACTCAGCACATCTCCGGTTGATTTAGGTGAATATACCACTGAGCTGGTGTGACAGAAAATCAGGGCTTCGACACAAACTGAGAAAACCGGGAGATTAGTGAATCAGAATTTTGCTTTGGATCTGTCTGGGCCCTTGAACTAAACAGTCCAGTAGTTCAAACCAGCTCTGAGTCCTACATCTGGACTTCCTGTTGATATGAATAAATAACAAATCAGTCAGAGACAACCATTTGATTTAATCACATCTTTGTGTAACTCTGATACAAAGAAGTTTTCTGAAAGGAATAGCTATATTTATAATTTTAAGTATGAGATGTGAATAAGCACGGGTGCAATTTGAAAAGAAAGTCGGGAACATTATGTCACAAAATGATCCACATTTGTTCTTTCTTCAGCCGTGGGGATTTAATGGTCCAGTCAGGGCACATTACACCCAAAACCTGATTTAGGAGCTCGTTCACACTTAAACAAATGCACGCGGACAGTCATGACTCATGTCCGAGCGAATGTGAGTCAAAATGTTCATTCCAGGGAGGAGATGAAGGAGACATTGTCAGTGATTTTTTATCTCAACTGCTGAACACGGAGGAAATATTTGTGACTGATGGGTACTTCAACTTGCCTCGATTTCCCAGTTTGAATTGAACTGAATTACAAAAGTGGAGTGCTTCTGACCACTTCACTGAGTTGGGATTCACATATATCACTTTACACATAAAGTTGATTATATCAGCTCCAAAGCAAAGCAACGTTTTTTTTTTATTCTTTCAATTTGCCTTCTTAATATCTGGTGTTAATCCAAACTAACGTTGCCTACACCACAGGCTTTGTTATTCATAGGATAGGACAAGAAAAGCCTCATGATATCATTCATGTAAATCATGTTATCATGTAAACAAACCACTTTTAAAAAAAATCGGATTGGGGGGGGGTGGGGAGAGTGTGTGATGTGTTTTTCTTTTTAATTTAAGCTCGATGTGAGTTTTTTTGCCACGAAATCAGACCTCATTGAGTCCGGTGGATTCTTTCCTTGGCTCCCTTCAACTTTCCCGTCCCGGGGGGGGGGGGGGCAGCTTCCAGCGGTGGCCCCCCGGACGCCCGGGTGACGAGCCTTGTGGTGCAGTCTACGTGCGCGCCGTGCCCCGGACTGACAGGGCCGGGGGTCCAATGAGGTAACCCCTCCGTACCGAGCTCGTCCAATCAGAGCCCGGGGAAGGCGGCGCCGTCCCGCCGTCGTCCCGGATGACGTCATGCACAAACAGCTGGTCGCTGGCGAATATCTGAAAAAATGTAGACCGGCTCAGCGACTGAGAAACTGCAACCCGGGCTGGAGCGCCCCCCCGAAGCCCGCCGCTCCACCCCCCCCCCCCCCTACCCCCCCTTCAGCCCCACAACAGGGGGTTTAGCTTCCGACGATGTGGCCGCCGGAGCGCCCGGGCTCGGGACGTCGCTCTCCGGGGCTCCTGGTGCTGGTTTCCACCGTCCTGTGCGCCGTCGGAGGTGAGTCCGCCGGGCGGGGAGCTGTCCGCCCCGCCGGGGGTGCTGAAAGCCCGGCCGGGGGTGCTGAAAGCCCGGGCAGGGGTGCTGAAAGCCCGGGCAGAGGCGAGAGGCGGCCCCGGGTCCCCGGGTCTCCCCGGTTCCACTGTCCGGTCCACGCCGAAAAAAAAACGCTGTTTTCCACGGTTTCCCCCCCCCTTTCGACATGGGGGGTTTGGGGGTTGGAGGGGGGGGAAAGGGTGCCGCTGTCAAGGCGTGTTTGTGGGAACACACACACGCCGAACAGGACGCCTTGGCCGTTTTTACCGACTTTCTCCTGTTTGTTTTAGTCTTTTGGAAGTAGAAAAATTTGCTAGGGCATAACAGGGGGACAGGACCGGATCAGAATACCGCCAGAGCAGCTCCGGTGTTTTCATTAAAACAACTTGCGTATCGAAATAGATTAAAAAAAAAAGGAATTGTAGGCGCTCCAGTTCTCTCAGATTTAAGATAAATGAGCCCCTTGCTTTTATGTTGTACAGGAAAAAGTACACGGTATTACCGTGACTTCTGTCACCAGAGGTAGTTAGGTGATGAAAACAATAGCGAAGATATTTCTGGATGTGTTTCTTGTGCTTTGGAAGTCCGTCCATCCAGATGTCACCCACTCGGTGCTGAACTGTGGGACAATAAATCCGTGAGAACACACTGTACTGATTGTGATCACTGGGGAGTTTTAAGATTGTGTCTTAAGGATTTTTTTCCAGACTTGTTGCTGTTGGGGTCTATCAGTATTTATGATTGATTTACGCATTTATTCATTTGGTTACATGGTTGAAGACAACAAGCTGAACTCACTCATTACTTCTTTCATATTGCTTTCTGGTGGGTTCATGTTAGGGTAGACTGCATTATCGCTCATAGGAACTTAACCAGAAGAAATATAAAAGGCAATTGGAGTAGAATGATAGAGTGGAGTTAAGATGTATGCACTATGATGGTTCATTTCACTGTTGTTGACATCTGTGAGGATGGAGGGTTTGGCTTTTGCTTTCTTATTAAGCGTTGTGTTTATCCCGTGGTGAGTGTGGAAAAAAGGCACAAAAAAAGGCCACTCCAACAGATGTGAACTTATCATTTGCCTTTGGTTGATTATGTCTCTTTGTTTGGCTGTTGGTGCAGGGGGCGCCTCTATCTCAGTTGTTTTTTGCCTACAAGAAAAAGAGACATTTTTTGAAGTCTAATTCATCCCTGCGTCAAAAGCTAAAGTTAAAAGACAGCCATGCCATGTATTTTTCCCCAAATCTTATGTTGAGATGAAAAGGAAGTGGGATTATGACTGTGTTAAGTCTCTGCTGGAGTAAAACAGTGGTAGGGAGGTGCTCATTGAGGAGATTACTGAATTCCGAAACCGTGCTGTGTGAAAGCCTGTAAGCACTCTGCCGCCTTTGTCTTAAAATGATACATCTTAATTTAGCCAACCAGCTTATTTAGATATTTTGGCATATTTATCTATGTGGGTGGGGGATTGTTATTAAGGCTTTAACCGTTTATATGGAATAACATTTCCCTTGGATAATGTTATTTTCATATGGAGGTTCTCCTAAAATATTTATATTCCAGTTAATCATTCAAATATTTCTCTTTCATGCATTGAGTCTACCAGATCAATCCTTAGATCTTTCCAAGTTCAGACGTTGAACATCTGGCGAAACTCAAGATTGTGACAGCTGTCGGTAAAATCCTGATTCAGAATATGCAGGGTGCACGACAGAAATGGCACAAATGAAACAGTGCAGACTGTCAGTCTCTATTGTGTGTCTTATTTCACGAATGGCTTTGCTCTGATGCTCAAATATGTAACGATGCCTCTAAAATTGGTTCCCACCTTCTGCTGTTTATGACTGCTTGACACAAAAATGTCTATGGCCCGGATAAGAAGCAATTTACCCTTACTTTTTACACGTAAACCATAAGGAAGAGAAGAAAATTAAAAAAGGAATTCAGTAATAGCGGGATATCATATAGATTTTTCTATGAATGACTTGTTTTGCCTGAAAAACATACAGTGAGGAGGTCCAATTAATTCAGATTGAAAGACTTCTTTTGAATAGCACAATCCCTTTCCTTGATCAGATTCACTTCAAAGTGCGCACCATTGATGATTTCTTTCCTCTCAAACATCTTTCTCACCAATTAGTGATCAAACAGCTGCGGTATGTCATTAACTTTTAGCTTTAACAGCGGGATCCATGTCTGGGGAGAGCATACAGTAAGCCTAATGCAGAACTCCAGCAGTGTTCTGTCAAACTCACCCTCTTCCACTCCAGTCTGTGACCTCAGGCGCAGATATCAGGTAATAAAAGGGCAAAGAGGGATTTGACAGTGAAAAGGGCTCACACGTAACGCTGTTAGCGGTGCAGAGGACGGTATAAATGGAGTAAAGTGGAACGTGGAAGCTTTGTATGGGAGTAGTCATTTTGCTTTTGACTAAATGAATTCCTCTTCTTGGGTTTGCATCTTTAGTATTCAAGGTTGCCTCAATACAGTAGGTGAGAGTCAGAGTAAGCTTTTACAATCGGTTATGGTGTGATGGGGAAGGTGAGGCAGAGAGGAGTCGTTTTTTTTTCTCTTATTGGGCAAACATTAGAAATTGCACTTTCAAGAAAAGCTTTTTCTGTAAGAATCTGCAACTTGTGGTTACACAGGGTGGTTTACTTCAATCTTTTAAGCAGAAATACTTGCAAAACATGCAGAGCCAAATTACCACAGTGAGAATGCTTTCTACATTGCTTCAGCTCTTGAGGAAATTGGAACTGTTTTTTTTCCATTCCATTTTCTCAACGCTATGATGAATTTTTTGGGTATTTTTATAGAATTTGGAGGCAAGATAAATCATCCAGTAGAAGAGGTCTCGGGCAGGGAGCGATGTGGCCACAGGTTTGGCAAGTCGAGATGGGAAAGAATGACATGCACAAACCCAGGAAGACCATAAATGTGAATCACAACTCAGTGAAACACCATTTTTCACACAGACACTCAGGTGTCTTGCCTCTCCTACGTTTATGATCGCCCTTATCCAAGACAAGCTTTATGTTCTTCCGTTGCAATTAACTGTCTCAGGCAGCTTCCTCCAGATTTTTACCCCCTGCTGGGCATGCTTCACGCTAGCCCAGTTCTTTGAGGCAATGTTGCAGATTCCACTTGCTGCTACTTGTTCCGTTGCTTTTATATGCAAAAAGTTGTGGTGGATGTAATCCAAGGGGTTTGACATTATGCAGGATGAGAGTGAGCGTGCATTTTCATAAGCATCTCTCGTCCCTGCTTTTAAAAGTCTGTGATGGCACATTCGGATAATGTAACGCTCTACAAACAGTTTGCATGGTTCAAGGAGAAGCTTGTCATTAAGGACTTACGATAGAGAGACGCCATATGGCTTGACTCAGTTCACAAGAATGACGGTGGAACTGACAAACTGCAAGATGCTTGTGGTTTAATTACAATCTTTGATAGCAATATAGTCATAAGTAATCACTGTTCACATTTGCAATATGGCCACAAGTGTCTGACAGCATGTGGGTTGAAGCTTTGTGGCAGACATCGATGTCATTACATGGAATGAATGGTTTGCCATGAAATACATTTCCCTAATGTGCACTGTATCTATTTGATTTATTTTGGGGGTATATTTTTCTCAATTCAAGTAATATATTTCCCCTCAACAAACAGTAATAAAATCCTGAAAACGAAATGAAGAATTTTTCAATATATCAAACTTCTATATTATTTTGAATTTACAAGGCTTAGCACATTCTATTTCCTTACATTGAAGCTGAAGGCAGTTCTTTGAAAATAAATGTTTGTTGTGATGTAAGTGACATTTTGATTTTAGTGTTGGAAGAGCTGGACAGTTTGAAAAAATATATATAAAAGAAATCTGGTTCCTACCACGCATTTCATAGATGCTTTGTAAGATTTTTAAGATATACCTGAGTGAAAATGACACAGACCAGAGGAGTTTTAAACCAGCTGCTTTCACTGCTTTCATTCATAGGCTAATCTACCTACTAATCTATCTACCCTCTGAGAGATGGGAAGGTCTAAGATACAGCAACACCTAACTCTAATGACGTGGGAGATTCTGATTGGAGCTGCACAACCTAAGAGACTAAATTAAATAATACATTTTTCGTAATGACAAATCATTGATTTGTTGATTGTTGATTGTCATCGCCCGATCTTCACCTCTGCAAACTCACAGATTTAGATATTCGTATTGCATTCCATTATATCTTCAACCTGGAAAAAAAACATTTGAGATCCAGGGTGGCTCGCACCAAAGTAGGTCAAAGACATCCCTGTGAAATACCAGTCACACACCCATGGCTTTTAAGAGAAGATTTACTTTCCTAAACCCCAAACCAATTATCTGCTACTGTTATTGGCTCAGACCTGTCCAGGGTGTAGCCCGCCCCTCACCCGTTGTCAGCTGGGATAGGCTCAAGCCCCCCCCCCCACCCCTGATCCCGTTGAGGAATAAGCCATAAAGAAAATGTATAGATGGATGTTATTGGCTCAAATTTAAGTTTACTTCCAAAACTTGGTGGCCCATGAAAGCATTAGCTCTGAGAAATCATCCCATCATAAACTGAAAGGATTAACTTGAATGTGGTAATACTGGGATGCAACTATGTATGTCAGAGTAGTAAAGACTCAGATTTGTATTTTCGCTGCTATTCATATACAACCTCATTTGACTTTGTTCGCCACAGACTGCCTTTTTGTGACTGAATACTTCACCCGCACGCCTCGTAAGCTGAACGCTTTCAACTCCTTCGCCAGTGTGGAACTGTTCCACTTCAATGTGCCTGATGACACCATGATGGCTGTTTGGAACCTCATCACCTTCAAGGAGCAGGGCGGCACGTTCGGCGACAGCTGTCCAAACCGCAACGTGACAGTGTAAGACAATGGGTTTGTTATATAGGAGAGCCAAGAATTATTGATTGACCCGTCACATAGAGTAGAGGCTAGCATTAGCGCCCAAATTAAAGATATTTTTTACTGTGCTTTTTATTTAAATGATAGTTTTTCATGAGAAATTATGACAGTTTTTCATATGCTTCTTTTATTTGAATTAAAATAATCCATTTCTGTAGATCAGTTTAATATCTGTCAGATGACTGTTTCTTTTATTAACATGCTAAAACCAACGTGGTTGGAATTGTGGCTTTGTGATTAATAGGTACTTCAGGTCTGGAGCCCCTCCTGTAATCAACCCCCTGTACACCGGCTTCCCTCGGGATACGGTCGTTCCGGGGTCGTTTGCCGTGACTCTCACCTGGACTCTTCCAAACCGCACAACCGGAGCATTCAACGTCACCAGCCCCGTCCCTGGGGACTGGTTCCTGGCCGCACATTTACCTAAGGATGAAGGCAAGATCTCAGTCAAGGTGAGGCCACGTATTCATCTCCACTAACTGACTTACTGCAGCTCCACTGACAAACACACACCGCGAATAAATCTGTCTTGATATCGATCCGCCGGACCAATATTGCCGTTTCTGCAGTCACGACGTTAGCAAAGGGGAAAATGTAAAAGTTCTCCAACCAGCATCGGCCGTTTAAAGTCCCAAACGAAAGGCTTGAGTCACTTTTTATGTGGTTCATCACTCACAAGTAGTGAGTGGTAACATCATTTTAATGAGATCTACTTCTAAATTTTCTTTTCATGGTTGCTTAAATCCCCTTTATGGGTGACAAAAATCAAATAGATATGATGTAAATAGTCTCCGGGATTAGCATTCCAGCTTGTGCTGCAAAGCTTAAAGAGGCAGAACAGTGTCAGAGAGTTTTTCTTCATCTCATCATGTTGTCCTATTTGGCTGCATAAACACCTGCTGATTTCCATTTCAGGCAATTTATTTGTCACTGGCATGGTGTTCTGTGAGGCTCCCTTTGTGGTTTTCACAGACTGCAAAAAGTGAACCTGGAGTACACAACAATCAAAAATATCATCAGAAGTTACCAGCGACATCAAACGCACAAAAGAGCCGGTTTGCTTTGGGGCGTTGGGGATGGAGGCCACCGTGGCTAAAATGCAGTTAGCCAATGACACACTGTAGATGGGGCTCTGTTTTTTTTCAGCAAACAAGATATTTTCAGTTCTGAAAGGAAAATCAAATGTAAGGAGGACAAGAAGAACAGGGAGATGCACGCTGCATCTGTAACGATCCCGGTCCAATTTTGAAGTTAGCAAACAGTCAGCATGGGTGCATTGAACATAAGAGAATTCTGCTCTTTTGACTTTCTGAAATGTGCCTCCCAGAGATTGGAAACCTGAAAAAATATGTCTGGTATTTATTGGACTTTTTTTTTACGCCGTTATAGTAACGAACTGTTGAAAATACAGTTTTTTTTATAAAACAAATCATTTAATTTCCCCCCTGAATCATTACTTGTTTGTTCGCCATGTAAATTCCCCTCAGAAGAATACATACTGGAGATTTATGATCAATTTTTCCATTTCTTGATTTTGAACAACAAACCACTTCTTTCTAATTTGATATAATTACCTTTAAGTTCTGTGTAGATAGAGTAAAAAGTATATCAAGTAAGATAAACTGTTATCTTATTGATCTCTCTGCTTTCAGATGCTTTCTGGCAACCAGTTTATTTCATGTCAAGGTTACAGGGATGCCAAATAGTTCTAAACTTAAGTAACTGAAATGGTGCAAGTTTAGAGAAAATAGCTCCTACCAGAGCAGAAAATATGTCTTCTTTGATCCAATTTAGAAAAAAAAATAGTTGTTTTACAATTCTGTATTCATTATGCATTGCATTTGTTTTTGAGCTATTGTTTTGCTGCGTAGGCCAGCCTTTATTTAAAAGCTTGGCAGTAGTTTTCCTCTGCTGTGTGAGGCAGCCCATGTAGAACCCTAAAAAGCTTAAATTCAATCAAGTTTTTCACACCTGACTAATTCAATTAGTTGTTTGAATTCCCATCATCTTAGCTCATGGAGCACTGTCTGCCTTCGGTTCAATATAGTAACGCTGAACCACAAACAAAAGGCTAAAAAAATGACCATGGCGTTCAGCAGAGCTGAACATAAGCAGTTAGAGGTTTCATTTATTGCACTGCTGTTGTGACAGATTGCGTAAGATTGTTCAGGTGGACGTAATAGACTGGAACCTCGGTTTATACCCCAGAGTTGACCCTGAAAACTCACGGCCTCTGTGGGCATGTCTGACCGAGGGAGGTGAAATAATGGAATTAGTCAGGATTTCTTTAGGGAGTTTTAGTGCTTTATGGGCTCTAATGGAGTTTAAGAGGCTTTAACAGCTTGCCAAGACTGGAATTGTGTTAAAAAAATAAATGAAAGTCAATATCTGACTATAAAAATGGTAAAAATATAAGGACGCGGAACACCGTACAGTATAAAAAAACAGCGGCCTTCAAAAAGCCATTGTGAAGTTGTCGTAATTAAAATACAAGCTGCTCTACAAGAGGCATGTGCAGGTGGATGTGACAGGCCCTAATAAATCAAAGGGTCACCCTGCTAGCTGCCAGACTAATGACACGTCACGGTAATTGTTGCGGGAGCGCGAGAGGTTAGTGATCGGCTGACAGAAATGAAGGACCTAATTTGGCATTCACACCTGTCCTTTTGAATCAGCGGCTTTTTTTTGTTGTTTTTCTTCTCCTTTTTCCAAACACAAATTACAGCAGATCATGTGTAGAAACAATGCACGCTCTCATGGCTTTTAAGTCATTCTGTCGGCTTGGCTCATCTCACAGCAATAATGGCTCAGAGCAACACGAGTGAAATAGTGGGTGCCGCCACGCTTTGTGGCAGAGAGGAGGAGGACAGAGTGATATTAATCCAAGAGGCTGACAGGCTTAATGCACACAGTCCATTAGGAATTTTCAGCCAGTCTGAATGATATGTAATCTTCTCCTTACCAGCTTTAAAGAAATATTGGCGCATTTGCCACACAAACACGATTCATACCCGCTTTTTTTTATATCGTTGCAGGGTCTGTCCGAGGAATGCCAATATCTGTTCCAGCCACAGCTCATCGTCCAGAGGCTGATTGGAATTTCCGTGCTCTATCCCGGATACTTCATTGACCAAATTATCCCTGTCCACAACAGATCTGCACTGTACAAGTAAGTCTTCTTTGTGAGCTCCTGAAAAATGAAGAATCAGGCCGTGTTGCCTTTCCCATCTCACACCAAGTTAAAAAGACACAACAAAGTAGGCTGCCTCTTCAGTCTGAACTGCTTATTGGTGTTTTATTTTCTGATTTTACTTGAGGCTTTATCATAAACTCACAATGTTGCAGTGTATTCAGAGATTATTCACCTTTTATAAGCTCCACTCTTCTTTGCTTTCATAATAGATTTTTTTTACTTTTCTTTTCCTTAATAGGAGATAAAAGAAAAAGGCATTGTTATTTTAACACTGCATTAAATCGGAAAGCAATTAATATGCTCTTTGTTCAAATCTGGTATGTTTAGTATGCTGACATTTAAGTAAAAAGTATATATTTCAATGTTTTAAAGTATGACTCATTCATCACAGAAACTACTTGGTAGTACAGTAGCCACAATCATGTATTCTTTGCAGCTGTTATTTTCGTGAAAAAGAACCACTTTGATGTTGCAAATAAAAAAAAAGGCTTTTCAAAATGTCTCCCTGGCATGGAGATAAGGATTAAGAGATACTGTATTTTAGATTTCCTTCAAGTTTCTCTTATCCATATAACTGAAGGTTGTTCAATGGGGGTTCTGTTTGTGACAGACTTTCAGAAAGTGGAACATTTCCAAAATAGCTAAAGATAAAGTCATCAAAGAATGTCTTGATTGTGTTCTTGATTAGTCAAAAAGGTCTTTTTTCTATTTTATTTATCGAATTAATAATTTTTTGTGTTTGCCACTATTTTACATCCACATTTTGATGTGATCTAGTGCCTGATACATGTCTTTGTGTCCCCATTTAGGGTCTTTATCCCCAATTATATATCAAAGGTGAAGGTGCAGCTGGTAAATTGCAGCACCAAGAACAAAAGTAGCGACGCTTGTCCCGTGGTGCTGAAGATAAGAGCCCGGGCGCCACCTGTGCATAACTCAAGTGCCCTCGACTGCAGGGAGTGGAACCCGTGTGAATTAGTCACCCTCGCACCAGCCTGGGAGCACTGGTACTACATTCTTGTGGAGAGGTATCTAAGTAACTCTGATGTCTACTTTCGCATCGGGGTTCAAATCACAGGTGAGAATTCATTTAGAAGAAATACAAGTGATCAACTAGCTTAGTTTGTAATAGTGTGTGTGGTTTATGGTCTCACCCAATGACAGCTAGGACCGGGTCCCCTGTTGGAATAAGTGGTATAGATAATAAATTGAATAGTACAAATGACTTTGCCATAAACATTTTGTGATTTATTCAGATTTGACTTTCATGATGGGTCATCATTTATCATTGTGTGTGTTGAGATAAATCTTGAATTAATATGTCTTTTCTACCTTTTGTATGGTACAGAAAAACTCTCTTAACAGATAAACCTCCACAAAGCTTTTGTTTACCTTTTGTCTTTTAATGGTGTTCTTACTACCTCTTTTGATTTTGATAAATATCAGCACTTACTGGCATGGTTTATTCCTATCATGCTGGGACCTTTGTGTGTATATATATTTATATATATATATGTCACACCCATAACATTTATACATTCTTTAAAATGTTTCCAACTTTGCAAATAAACCAAATAATGAAATAAGTATATCTTTTTATACAGTATTTCTCCGATTAATAGCATGAGTGTTTATCACCACAACATGTGAGCTGCTTATTTCCTTTGTACAGCCCCTGCTCTCCTGCTGCTCTGGATATGCGCTTTGGGACCACACTCGCACAGTCTCTGAAAATCTGAAAACTCATAAATTAGACCAAACAAAAGCTTAAAGTGGGTCTCAACAGGATATCACAAATGCATTTCCAAATGATTAGTAGGTGGTTTAAAATATAAGTAAAAACAATGGAGTGATTTACACGTAATTTTTACATTTGTTCTTAATTAGAAAACAGTTAAAAAAAAGAGGTTTTAATTGTAATCTGTCCAAATCATTCTTCTGTGAGAAGAATTAAGATGACTTGGAAAAAAAATACTTCCATGTAAATGCCAAAGCTTAAAATCACATGGTTAGTAGTCATGATCTTTAGGTCTTCAGGCTGCTCTTTATAAAAAACAAACATTTCTGATCTGGAAATCACAGCATAAGCTTGGAAAAATTCACTGTCTGAAAAAATGTGCTGTTGCATCCACAAATTGAAGTTAAATCTCGACCGTATGTATAAGTGAGAAACACATCTAAAGATCAATAAACAGCCTGACCCAGAGCCTATTTCACTCTCATCCTATTTAATATGTTTGCGATATTGTAACGGAAGAAGCTCAGAACTTCCGCAGTAGATTCAACAAAGAAAGAAAAACTGAGCTCACTTAAATTCTTTGGCAGCCGGACTTCTCAGACACATAGTGTTTTCAAAAGAGGAGCTGATGTAACACAGTGCTAAACATTTCCCACTTCCATTTCTTCTCTGAAATGTGCAGCCGGTTGAGTTTAAAAAAACTTGAATCGTCTTTGTACTTCTATCTCTATTCAAAGGTATACTTTGAACTATATTTAATTTTTATTTGGCATATGCACAGTATCCAAACATTTCTGTAAATAGCTGTATTTGGAGCCAACATTCCAGCACCAACATAAGAGTTACCTTTAGAAAAAACATCCTTTGTTTTCTTTTTTAAATGTATTCATGAAAAAAGAATAAGGAACGTACGTATACCAGCTGTCTATGAGGCTCTTGCTTTGAACAAAGATGTGCATTGTAGAAATAGATTTTTGGACATGTGTTTTGATGTAAGAGAAAAAAACAAAACGGCAGGTCGGAGACTGTCAGACCATTAAGAAGCTTGTTGAAGTAAAGGTCGGAGCCCAAACTGAGGTGATTCTTTGGGGACCGCTAAGAGCCCACAGACTCCGTGCCTGAGTGCTGCGTGCTGCTTTTTGGCTTTGGACGGCAGAGATATTCTTTATTCCTTTTTCTACGGGGATGGCTCACAAATCTGTGGGAAGTCCACGCTCATGTAACGAATCTCTCCCTTTGTTCCACACTGTACAGTGCACTTTGTCACCATGGCAACACAGACTAATTATTCACACTCTGTCTCTCCCGCTGCCTGCCAGGCAGATCTTACTTGACCTTTTGCGGATTTGAATTGAAGAACACCTCGGGTTCAGGAAGAACACCATCTGGAGTTTTCACCTTCTCACTCTTGCTTGATAATATTGGTTCTTGTCGATACGAGCCGTCTCAGCGAGGGAAATACGCGACCTTATTTGAATTCGGTCCAATTTACAAGCATCGCAGTTGCTGGCTAAACAGAATGTGGGAAAAAACTAGGTTGCACTTGGTTCAATAACGGTTATGATTATATGTGTGGCTTTTTAACTGCAGGTGTCTTGCAGGATGTTTGGCTACTGAGGAGAGTTCACACGCTGTCCTGCAAATAATAGCAAAATGTCATCTGAAACTAAATGTTGTGACAAAATATCCCTTCCTCCCTCAGCCACCCACACACACACTTACATCCGTATGCATTTTCTATATGCCGCATATGAGTCTTGCCCTACATTCTAGTCACTTCTGTCTCTTGTAAGCAGTACATGTTTCTTTTTCAGTATTTAAGGAGGGCTTCGGCTGCCTGGATTCATGTCAGAACACTTCACACTCTTTCAGATACAACCACATGCAAACAAGGAAAAGCCTTTGAAAAATGCTTTCCCCTTGGGGACTGATGGTATTTGATGATACTTTGCGAGTTGCTATCAGTGACCGTTCGGCTGCGAGTTGCTTTGTGCTGAGAGAGCACACCATATGCAATTACACCGAGTCTTTGTCTTGTTATGAAACAGTCCATAGCTCTGAATTTGGCCGGATTGAGAATAATAATTCTGAACTTTTGTAGGATCGCTTGGCTACCATGACTTCAACAGAACAAGTCATTCTATCTGTTTCTTTGTTATGTTTGCTTGTTGTTTAATTTGAATATGCCGGAGGATGTTGCTGGGTGTGTTGCTGAGCATGTAGCAACCATCATCCAGAAATCCACCTGAATACCTGACGGGCGCACGCATCTGTTTTTTTTTATATTTGGGATCTCTGTCTTCTGAACAGATTGCTCCAGGTCCGGTTCGTCGAAGGAGCAAGCGCAACCCGGCTCCTCCATGAACATGCCTCAGTCTTTTGGAACGGCCATGGGTTTCTCCCTGCCTGAGACGTTGCTGATGGCGGCCCTGCCCGGCCTGTCTCAGAACGCCAGTGGCCTCCGCGCCTCGGAGGACAGCGTGGTTTACGTGGCCCCCACAGCGGACGCCAACAAGTGCTGGCCCATCCGCCCCACCCTGCGCAACGAGCTGGACACTTTCTCCGTGCACTTCTACGTCTTCTTCGGCCCAAATATATCCATCCCGCCGGACAGAGCCGCTGTCTTCACCATTAACCTGATGCCCGTTTTAGACAGTGGAGGAGTCCTCAACATGGAGCTCAAACTGAATATGGTGAGTTTGTCAGATATACTATTGTGTGTTTGAGACTGCAGGCTACAGATAAATGGTTTGGGCACACAAGCTTTTCTACTGCATGTTCTAATGTCATGTTTCATCAATAACACGTTACACTTTCATACCCTTGGACTGCTTATTTCCAAAGAAAATAAGGTGTTTGACAAGGCCGTGCTGTCTCCCTGATTGTAATCAGAGTGCAAATAGGCAACAACTAATGAAGAGAAAATCTACAGCCAGAATGAGGGAGTTATTGGTTTCAAAGTCTCTGGCTCAGCTACACTGCTAAATATCGATGCACGTGTGGTTATAGACTGCGAAAACCGGAAAAAGTTAGGTACAAAATACACTCCAGTGTTTAGGACTGTGACATGTGTCTTTAATTGAGAGGGAACACAATGCAAAAAAAGTCATTCTGGCAGGATTTGATGGCTCTCCGCTGATCTATCTGTCAGATAGTGATGGTATTAGGAATGCACCTACAGAAGCTCTGCTGGTCTGCTGGGAGCAAAAAAACAGGCTTGCAGACAGACTTTTAAACATTTCACTCTGAAAAGAAATCAAGACATCCAGGTAGGAGAGAAGCAGAGGATGAAGCATAAAGTGGATCCCTTTTATAGTTTAGTTCAAAAGAACCTCCTGACATTTAAATATTTTTTTATTTATTTTTGCTTTTTTTCCTGGAAGGAAGGCTGATATCAGTTTTATCTCTGTCATATTCAAGGTCACATCTTTGTCCAAACACCCATATATCTGTTTTTAAGCAGCGTCTCTCTCTCTCAATTCTCATGGAATTCAATGTAAGATAAGTCAATAGTGAAATAAACATGCATTTAAACGTGGCAGGTTGGAAGCGGTTGGAATCTAGCTGTAGCCTTCACGCAGCTTCTCCCTGCCTCAGGACTTTGTGATAAGCAAGGCTAAACGCATCCTTCATCTTCAGTCAATACAAAGTGATGAAATTGATTATTGATCTCCTTATCTAACCTTTGGAGAGGAAAAAAAAAGAAAATGCGGACGGCTTCTGGAAACCTTTGAGAGCAAAAAAAAAAAGAGACAAACCTGGACTCTTGAGTAAATAATAATATGCAATTAAATGGTTCACGGTAACACTAACAAACAAATTGTCTAGCGGGTGGAGAGGTATTTGTTGGTCCTTTCTCTATGGAGCGTTCACCATTTTTCCATGTTTTGGCATGTGAAAAACCCCCTAACCTCTGACTTGGCCGGTAATTTCCCCCTCTAGCGACCAGATGTTTCTGCTGCCACCAGATGTAAACGGGAATAGGCTCTCACAGCTTTCATGTCTCAAGTGAGTTGTTTGGCTGATTTCAAGCCACAGAGACAATATGTTGTGATGAAACCTGCTCGCTGTGATTGCTCTGTAAGCTGCCAGTTGTATTCTTCAGAGAGAGCGTCATGGTATATTATTCTACGGACAGATTTCCCCCCCCACCACCCCCCCTGGCGATGGTTCTGTTACTTACTTGTCAGAAGCGGGGAATTCAGTCAGCCGCCGCCAGTGGGGAACTGGCAGATTTGCAGGGCTTTTGGAGACAATAGCACGAGCGCCTCGTCTGCCCTGCACCACTTTCCCAGCTGAAGTGTGCGGGGAATGCATAGAAGTTTATTTCCACTGTAACTTGAAGTGGAGTCGCATTGATTCAGTCTTTTTGAAGCAATCTTTCAGTGTTCTTTTCGGAGCTTGAAAAGTAAAAAAGACATTCTCCCAGACACAGTAATGAGCGTTGGTATTTTAAAATGTTCACTCTTTTCTTATGTTTTTTTAAAATGTATTTTCACTTTTTGCAGTGATCCATACTTTATTTGAACAAACAGAAAACTTTGGAAATACATTCACATTTAATCAAGATGCATTAGTAATCAAATTAGACCAGATTTGACAAATCACAAAATCAGGTACCAAGAAAAATAGAGGTTTTTTGTCATGTCTGCTTGCTGCATATGAATTTTTTTACATAGATTATCTTATTATCTACAACATATTTGTTTAAAGGTTAAGGCTTGTTAAAAATGGCAGGATCAACTTTTTCCTTTTACATGAGAGGCATTTCTTTTTGAACACACTCTTTTCAAAATGGGTCTCACAATCTCTTTTGTTCTTTTTCTTTCGCCTGCAAAAATGTTTAAGCCTGCCAGGGAGGAAAGGTAACGTCAGTGCAAAGACTTTTTCGGCCCCTCCCAGAGATGCTCTATTTGCTTGAAATACTTTTCTTAAAGTTACCGCTGTACTTCTCCTGATGGCGCGCCTCAGATTGTTGTCTTGCCGGAATGTAAATCTTTAATGCAGCCCGAGTTAATGAACGGGAAAAGGTTAAAACCTTTTTCTAGCTATTAACCGCAGGGTTTTCGGAGCGAGATGCTGCCTTTCAGAGAGATTTTGCCTCCAAACTATTAGAACATTTGACTGTAGGGGTGGTGCTAATGAAATGATGCTCAGTGCCTGGTTTTCACCCTGTGTGCTGTTGGGAATTATTTTAAAATAGTTCAGTCTTCGGCTCACCAGATCAGAGAATTTTACCCAGGGGGTTTTCACGGGTTTTTTTTTTTTTTTTTTGAAGACTGGTTAGCATCTTTTTCACTGTACCATGAAGGTGTGATTGGAATGCTGGGCCGGTGGCCATCATTCTGTCTGTCAGGGTTCCGTCTCCACAAAGGAAACCGTTCATGTTGATGATCAGGTCACTGATCACCCGTCTGACCGAAACGCATCATCCCTGATTAAATAGTGCGAAAACTCAGTTTTGTTTAGGATCAGGAGGTCTGTTGATGGTTCCAGACTCCATCCATCTAAATCACAGTTACCTCCAGCATCAGAGGCTCCTGTAATGTAATCTATGCTTCGGCACCATCCTGTCTCTCACAACTATGTTGCAATTAGCTTGATCCGATGTCTTGATTTTCATGCTGACACACACAATCACCTGTGAAATTCCGAACAGATTGCCGTGTGTTTTTCTAACTGTAATTCCGCAATGTTTGATGAATGCGATTGTGCACAGGTGGTTTTCAGAGAAGACGTAGAGACATGGCAGGGTATCACCGATACAAAGTGGAATGCATCAGAAATCGGTCGCAAGTCCTACCAATATGCCTGAATACTTACATGATAAGGACATTTGAGTCTCGCTTTTGGTCTGCTAGTGTGGAGAATCAGTAGACTGATGGGGGAAAAAGGGAATTTGATCTAAATTTAGACGAGCCTGAAACATGTCAAAATGCAGAACTTGAAAGGCTCTTCCTGACGGCATGTTGTACACACATTAATTTGTTTTCCTGTTTATTTTTAGCCCGCATGAGCCAGGGGAGGCTGCAGTATATTTATGTTACGTCACCTCGGCTCACACAGGGGAGGTGTGGAGACGCAGGGCGAGATAGATGTCCGCAACACTGAAAACTAAACTCCCCTTTAATCATGCACGTATGAATAAAGAAGAGAACGGACTTAAAAGATGTTGGTAGACTCATATATAATTGATTTTTCTTGAAAGCGAAATGTTCAATCAGTCAGGTAAGAAGGTCTTATTGTTGCTTAGCAACATTCATATATTCACAAGGTGAGATGTGGGTATATGAGTATATGATTGAAAACTAAGAAAACATAGAAAGCCTTGAAGGGTTTCTTTTTTTTTTTTTTTTTGTAAGTCCACCGTTTATGATCCAGGATGTGCAGCATCCTGAGTGCATGTCAGTTTCATCTGGGTTCTTGCATCAGACTGCGTTGTATTTTACATGTCAGCAGTACAACTCTGGGGGAAATCAAGCAAAACGGAACTACACAAACTTACAAACGGAAGCAGAATGTTCATCCGTTGCAAAGCTTTTCCTCATTCTCGTGATTAGAGCTGGCATTTCTGTGGGTTCAGGGTTTTTTTAATGTTATTTTTTAGCTAACCATTCAGAAGCTTTCCCACAGCGTGACTTGACATGGTCCTGTTACAAAAGGTCTTATATGGGCGAGCTATAAATAAAAACCGATAAAAAACTAAAATGAACATTCCAGACCTGAATTTGTAAGTAGGCTTATAGAAAAAATAGTTAGGAAGGTTAATTAACGAAGGATCATATAATGTTCTGATAGGAATTAATTTTCAGATGTGTTTCAACAATATCTCCTTAAAAGGGCTGGGGTCTGAATTTTAAAGATGCAGAGAGCTTAGAAAGGATTTTGAAGACAGGTAGAGCCTTGACACTTATCAGTTAAATCTTAATTTCAGCACCACACTGTTTGAGGGAGGAGAGTTGAAGAAAAAGGAATTTTCTGGTTCCTGCAGAGCCCAGTTAGTTCAGATGATATATTTGAGACACGAAACATTTGAAATTCATCACAAAATAATCACTGTATCTGGAGATAATCTTGCTACCTAATTCCTTGTTTTTTCCTGGTGAACCTTGATGTTTACGGCAAGTAAGCAAAAGGGATCATTTATCACATTGTTCACCCGGTAAATGAGCTCTTATCCAGATAGGGGTGGAACTATACATCAACTCTGAGAAATACTCTGACTCTTACACGTGCCTCTACGTTTGTTCCTGTGGTAGGGGAATGATCCCAGCTAAACTGATATTAGACATTAAAGACAATGTTATCAGATGTTAGGATGAGATTTTCTTTATTTCCTCATCAATCAGACAATATTATATAATATCAAAGTTCACATTAATTTTTATCCTTCAGTTATCCCTTGAATGTATAACAAATCATTCAACATGTTTTCAGACAAAGTGTGTGCTGAAAACTTAAATGATGATACTTAGAGGTGTTCCCACACACCTTTTTTGCCATAATGTTCAAAGTCATCCATGAACCCTCCAGAGGGCAGAGAAAAGGCTTTTTAAAAAATTCGATGGTAAGTATAGAGATTTATGTCCGAACGGAAAAATCGGTAAGCTTGAAATCATCCTTGAGGGAACATGAATGTTTGTCTGGGGATGTTGCTGGAGAAAAGGTCAAAGGAGCATCATTATCCCGAACTTAGCCTTTACATCCCCTTCATATCTGTCGTAATTCTGCGCAGTCTCACCAACATTGCCCTGCTGCTAAGAACGGATGAAAACCTTCGCTTTCCACTCGAGTCTTTGAACTGAAAACAGAATCTGGTTTCGGGGGCTTCTGACCCTTTGCTTTCCCTTGGCCCCTGAGTATCGTAAGCCCGTTCAGCATTCCACACTCGAATGTTTCTTGCTTAATCCTTCATCTGCAGACTGCAGAGGACAGTCAGGATGAAAGACAGGCAGAAAAGGAGAGGACCCGTCTCCAAATGCCAGTGGGCGTGATTTTTTAGTCTTCATATCGAGAGAGTAGCAGGCCAGATGGTGAGTTTAGGAAGTCTGAAATCTCAGCACTGGTGCAGCAAGTGTCTCTTAGTCATTGCATTAATCAACAACTCCCCGCATATACATTATGCTCATTTTGTGCTACGGGGGCATAAGGAAGCGTAATCATTCCAGAAGTAATTGCCAAAAACTTATTCGCACTATCAAGTGAATATCCCTCTGGACACAAAGCAAATGTATCAAGTGTGCTGAATCTTTTTCTGAAGGACTCGTGTCAAAGGAACTTTCTAGTCCAATATCTCGGCTGGAATTTTTTTCACGTTAGTTGAAAAACACTTCATCGCTCCGCTGAAGCTACATTGCACTCCAAAACTGATGAGCGGTGTGACTAAATAAGGAGGAATTTAAAACTTGTGAAGTGTCAGACATGGTGCTTGAGTGTGCACTGATGCATTATGAACACATCCATTTTTATTTTTTTCTCATCCAACCACTATTTGCGCTCCTGTTGTTCTTTTGCTGATACATCAAACCAGACTGTCAGGGCCCCCCCCCCCCGTTCGACTCTCCACAGATTGTGCCACTTCATTTTAGCATATGCGGCTTCCACCGCTTGAATAATTCCCCTGGATTCTTTTTTTTTAATGCATGAGCATGGTAATGTATAATTGATGCTTTAAGGATATAAACTGCCAACATCTTCATTTAGATGCCTCTGGCAGATTGAATAAGAGAGCTCTCCCTTGATTTGTTAGTTTTAAAGTTGACCGTCCCTTGGCTGTGGAGAAACAGAGGCCTGAGGTGACGCTGAACAGTGTTGGCTCATCCACATGACGGCACCAGATGGGCAACGGTTGTGCAGATGATTGACGTGTGTTTGTGCTTTTTTTTTTGCTTTTTTTCTAGTCCACGCTGAAAGGAGCTAATCTCACTGTGTTTGGCTGCCTGAACCACGGAACGCCTGTTTTCTTGCGTGAAAACTCATCATGGAAATGTGAATCAGGTATTTAAAAATGGCCTAAACTTGTTCAATTGTAATCCTGTGTGGCTGTGGAATGTTTTTTTTTTATTATTGTAAAGTTAAAGCTCCATTAGCAAAGTCATTATTTTCTGATCTGTTTCTCTCAGAATCTGAGACTGGGTTTTTCCTCTCCGTGAACGTGTCTGCAAATATCACCAAACTGAGGATTCCCTTCCCACAGACAGGAACATGGTACCTCAGTCTCCGCTCCCTATGTGGCACTGAACATGGGTGAGATTAACTGCTGTGCTTCTTAAATTGGTTAAATAAAACATCTATGACAATAAAAAATAACTAAAAGAATGAATAGTTTTAACAAATTTGGGATGTACAATGGAAATGAATACAGAATTATTTTCCAATTAAAATTTGATTAACAACAGAACATTGAAAATAATAATTATTATGAGGAGACAGTTTATTACATGCTGATTTTTTTTATTTGATTGCAATAAGATAAGATGATATTAATAATAATGAAGGTAACAGGACCTTGTTTATCACTATTTGAGATCACTGCTGTTATATGAGCAAATATTGTAATGAGATAGTCAAATGTTTCAATTTCAGGATTTTATATATTTTCTATCTTCCAAAATCTACAAATCATTACTTTGTACCTAAAGTTCTATATTTTCACAGTCACCCCATTTTTTTTTACGAGATTGGTTAAATATTCTCTTGGCTTGATGTAGACTATCTGTGGTTTTCAAAATGAGGTTCCCTTCCAGCAACCTCAGCAAAAAGATAGGAAAAACTGGAGGAAAACTGCTCCATCTCCAAAGATGAGAATTCTTCTGATAACACAAGAGGGGTATCTATCGTCTTATCCGGGTCTTGGCAGGAGAGCAAATAAACACATTTCCCAAAATATCCAACTGCGCTTTTAAAGGAGAAACAAGTGTGTAAATTGTGTTCCCTGTAGAGTTCAACCCAGAAAGTCTTAAAAACATGATTTACAAGCAGAAATTCAGTGAAACGAGTTGGTTCGCTGTTGCTCATAAATTTTTGACTGTCTCATAATCAGCTCTTCGGCTCAGTACCAACACCCCTCGGCAACCTTGGTGAGACAATATTTGCTGTCAAACATAGGAAGGCATGTGCAAAAATAGGATGCATCATATTTCCTATAACACGTTTTCAAACAATAATTGCCGTTTGTTTGTCTAAATGAATAATTGAGCCAGCGAATGAGGAAACATGCTCTTCAACCTCATCCCTTCCCATGTGATTGCAGACTGATTTCATATCAAATGTGCACCAGATCTTTCACAATGTTTTGTTAAAAGTAAGACAGGATGTTCCAATCCTGCCTTTAAATGTGATTTTTCCAAAATTGTCAAAGGAAAAATTCTCTCAGGTATCTTTATTCACACTTGGAGATTTTATTGTTATTGGACTGTATTTTTTTCCCAGCTTTAACACATTGAGCAAACTGCCAGACATGTTCTGCTTTTTGTAAAGGGCACAGCTCTTATCGTCAGTGGGCCAGATATTATCTAGCATTTTCTTAGATTCTCTCCTATCTTGGATTTCCAATAGTTTTGTCTAAAGCCTTTTCACAAAGTATGGGCAAATCAGCAAATTAAGCTATTTTGCTGAACTTTTATTTGCCCAAAAATGTGAACAGATTAAATCAAGCAGTTCTTTTTTTTTTTATCGTACTCTTGAGAGCTCCAATTGAATTTGAATAGCAGATAATAACAGATGGCGTGGGACGTGTACTCATCTTCAAGTTAAACTAAACGGAGGTAAGAAAATGCTGGCGGCATTCACTTAGCTATGTGTTAGATTTCACACTTGTGCACATGTTAATTCCGTCCAGTCTGGCTCGAGGGGGAGAAGTGATAGTGTGATTGATGGTTGCTCTTAATGTCCACAATTATTAAAGAAGCAACTGATGGTGTGGTTTAAAAAAAACAAACTGTAAAGTAGCAAGAGACGAAGGCATTTGTTATCCCCGGGTGTTTCATTCTCTGTGCCAAATTCTCGTAATCCCCTCAGTAACTCTCATTATTTATCTGTAAGAGATCAGCAAATCATCAATTTAATCATGCGCAATTACCAGTAAGTGGAAGTAACTTCTTTCATGTCGTGAATTACTTTAAGTGGTTTTTAAGAAATATTGAAAGTAACTGAGACTCTTGCAAAACAGTAAAAAAAAAAATCCAAATTCAAACAAGTGGAACCATAGTTTAATTGCTAGCCTGTGTAAAAGAATCGTGGTTTTCATTCTTTTGTTTTTGGATTTATCACGCAATCCACATAAAATATGTCAAAAAATAAGAAAAAAAATCTCTCTGCATATCTACAAATTTCCAGAATTTTTAGTTAAATAACAGACAAAATACAAAAAATGAATGCTCATCAATGAAGATGGGCTCACCTCATACTATGAGCATCTGCTGCCATATGCCTCACACACACATTTAGCTTTTTTTATCTGAAGGTCCAAAGACTTTAAAGAGTCCAGCTGTCTGATTTGCAGCAAAAAGGTTTTGGTCACGTGTGCTGATATTACTCATTAAGGACAAACTAAAAACACGTGCGTCACCCCGCACAATTCACCCAAAAAATTGAAAAAGACAGCTGCAGTCAGAGCTCTGGCCCTGAAGTTTTATGATTGAAGTCGAAAAAGAAAAAAACAGGAGTGCGGTTTTCAATGCTATGTGTCAAATGCCTCTTGGAGGAAAAAAAATGGTTGGCGTTCTATCAAACTGATGTTTGGCTGAGGTAATTAGTCAACAGCAAAGATTTCACATCATCTCCATCCCTGCTTGTTTGTCTCTTCCCAGGTTTGAGGAGTGCACCAACGTGACCGCAGAGGTGTATATGCGATCCTATCTCACTCCGTGCATCAATGACTGTGGGACGTACGGGCAGTGCAAGCTTCTGCGCACCAACAACTACCTTTACGCCGCGTGTGAATGCAAAGCAGGTAACGATTTGTGTGCAGATTGTGTTGCATTGCAGACACAATGTCAGCGGATCTGTCAGCCTGACATGAAAAGCTATTTTCCTGCCTGCGCGTCGATTTCGAATCCGCGCCCACCGCGAGCTAAATTCAGATTAGGTCGTCTCTGTATGTCTCCCTTGGATTTGATTCAACAGTTCTCCCTTTATTTATAAATTAGCAATTAATAGTGATCAGAAAGTGGGACCATAAATTAATGATTGCGCGATGATGACTTCATTCTCAGCAGTCAAAAGATTTTTTCTGCTCGCGCCATGGCGAGATGAAACTTTCTGTGCGGAAATGGGGTCATCGCCACTGCAATGAATTTCTAATTTGTCGGTAAAATACATCATGCAGAGTGACAAGAAAATGGGGGAGCGCCAGGTGGGATGGCATAAGTAATCTTCCAAAAACTGAACTGACAATACTGCAATTAAATTGTACAACACCTAACACTGTCTACCGTGGCCTTGCATTAATCTAATATAAGCTGTTTTGATAAGACAATAAAGCCTGCTCTTAATTACCAACAGCTTTTCAATAAAAGATGAGCTTATGAAACTAAACAAACCATGCCCTCTGAGGCTTTTTTAGAAAATCCTGCCTTTGATCTGCTTTTATTGAAGTCTGCTAGTCTTCTGTTGGATTCATTGTCATACTTCATGTGTGTCTCTGCTTCCTGGCAGACGAGCTGCATTCAGCTCTTGCCCTTGGCTCGTCTCATTCCGCAAAACCTCTGTTCAACAGCGCTCACCAATATTTAATCCACTCTGTCTTATCCAATCCACCACTTGATAAGACTCCAACGTGGCAAAGCAGGGGTGTGTTAAAACAGAAGGGAGCTCGCGCAGCGAAGGTCTATTCCGTTGGATCAACAACTTCAAACGCGAAATATGTTTCAGAGTGTCCTTGCAGAGAAGTGACCGTTTTGAAAAAGGCTAATGACGCATTTATTTAATCAAGGCATGAATATTTCTTACGGGATCACAGAAAGGGAATGAGTAAGTTATTAAAACGGCGTAATTGAAAATGAAAATGTTTTTCAAGGAAGACTAAACTTGATGCGTTTTTTTATTATTTTACACGCAAGTGATCCTTTCGGCTTTCTTTGGTCATCTTTCATTACTGGCTGTGCCTTTGTGTGTGTGTGTGTGTTAGGATGGAATGGCTGGGGATGCACCGACAACTCAGAGGCCTACTCCTACAGTTTCCAGCTCCTCTCCACTCTCCTGCTCTGTCTCAGTAATTTGATGTTTGTTCCGCCGGTGGCCATCGCCATCCGGAGTCACTACCTACTGGAGGCTTCAGTCTACATCTTCACCATGTTCTTCTCCACGGTGAGTGGATTTAAGAGATGACCGGAGGAAATAATTCCGAGTCTGATATGAGGACAAACAACTTGTGGGCTGCACTGCAGATTCGTATTTAGCTACTTTTTTTATTGAAACATGACAAACTTGGTGACTTCGACTGGAACAAAAATCTCATCATTTTATGAAACATTTTTGTGTTTTTATTGTACTGGGCACAGGCAAAAGTATTAGAAACATAGGTGAAAAGGCAGGCAATTGAATTCAGCATGTCTGTGGATATATAGAAAGTAACAGTGAAATTCTCGACAGAATTTAGAGAAAACTGCCATGAATCAGACACCCTTGCTTAATCAATAACTTAACTTAAGGATGAATTTGATAATTTGTAATGATGGATTTAGGAATTTCATGCTAAGTAGATGACTCTTCTTTATTCTTAATGAAGCGCTCAGATTTATATTGAATTAAAAAATGTCTTATCTAGCCAGATTTGTGTTTTTTCAAATAAAGATGCTTCATGCTATGCCTCCATTAAAGTATTTTTTTAGCAGTTTTTAATATATTTGAACTATATACGTACCTTCAAAGACTTAACCTAATGTCAGCCTGAGCAGTCTTTTATGCTACATATGAGTGTTACTGGAAAAAAAAGATGAGATGAAAATGTAAAACATCCATCGAATCAAAAATGTAGATAGAAAATATGGCATCTAAGTGAATAACTGGGCTGTGGGAGCACTTGGCTGTAAAAATAAAATGGAAATATTTGTCCACATGCTATGGGGTAGAAAGTACAGTCTCAATAGAATTAATCAAATGAAAACAATGTTTTTGTTGTACAGGAGATGGCTTTTACTGTAATTGTTTTTCCATCATGTTTTTTGGCTAATGTAACCTCGGTCTTGTCCACCGTCTCCCACAGTTCTACCACGCATGCGACCAGCCGGGTATTGTGGTCTTTTGCATCATGGAGTATGACGTCCTGCAGTTCTGCGACTTCCTCGGGTCTCTCATGTCGGTGTGGGTCACCGTCATCGCTATGGCCAGACTAAAGTCCATCATCAAACAGGTCTGTTTCTGCTGGGACTCACAACAACAATCCAGGCATGACTTGACGCTGTTCTTAGACTGAATTTTCATTTAGTTTGTACAAAAGTTGTATTTTTGAGTTTGAAGTAATTAAATCTCTTAAGTTCAAATAAGAAGGTTAATTAAAAAAAGAGTAAAATGAATCCTTTTTTTCCCAACAGTAGAAGACTACACTGAATGTTATTGGTCAGACGATCACCAGCTTTTGAGACTAATAATCCAAATAAACTGTAACATTCTCATTTTGTAAAGCTGACAGCAGTTATTGTTAGCAGTAAAAGATTTATGGATTCGGAGGAATCATACTGACTATTTAAGACATTTGAAGGTGTGCACGAGCAAATTTTTTGTGTTCCCATCCATCACCAGCATGTTTTTTTACAACCACAGGGTACTTGTCGGGACGATATTGATTGTCATGCCAATATGAGATGTCATAGTGAGAACACTAACCTCATGCATCATAACCCTCATAATGTTCAGTCCGGTCTTTCATGAATTTCAAATATCGTGCGCTAACCGTGTCAGTGTGTGTCATAAGGGATCTTTGGGCTGCGCTTCGTCTGATCCCTCTCCTAGGACCTGGTTGCCTTGGGTGACCCTACCAGGGGCTTAAATCCCCGGACAACTCAGCTCCTAGGATCACTGGGACACTCAAAGCCCTCCACCACGATAAGGTGGCAGCCCAGGGAGGGGGGGTTTGTTCCCAATTTCTGAAAAGGTCTCAGTAAACGTATAAATGTGACATGTCTGGCTGCGTTGAGCCTTGTCAGAGCAGAGTCTCTACCAATAGATCAAACGGCATTTGCAAGTGTGGGAAATGTGGACGTTCGCTTGAGAAATAATCAGCTTTGGCTTCACCCACAAATGCTCTGTTTGGCAAGAGACAAGCAGACAGAGAAACAAATCCATTTTCTTTTTTTCTTTTTATGTATATTGTGTATTAAACTTTCATTTTCAACTTGTAGAATTAGACCTGCTTGTACCTAAATGCATTTCTATTATAAAGGAATCTTAAGGGCACCTAAACTGAGATGTCACTTGCAGACATGAAGAGCAAAGCCCCGAACAAAGAGAAATTAGAGGTCTCAAAAACCCCAAACAAGTCCCACATATGCGTCAAATCTGAGATGCAAATGAAAAGATCAGTGTATCGGTGAAGCGCGGTGGTAAATTCTCTGGGTGTTGACATATTGTGGAGGATAAACACTAACAGGTGCACCTTCTCCCTGGGTTACCCTCTGGCTGCACACCAATATGGAGCAGTCTCAGGGAAAAAAGTGTGTGTGTGTGTGCGGGAATGTGTGTCCCTGTCCATAAATGAGACGGAGAAAAAAGAGGGGGGGGAGTGGTGAGAGGCAGCGGGGTTGTGGAAAGGAGGGTAGGGTATGAACATCTGCTGTCCTCCTGGGTTTTCATTTTTGCTTAGTGCTGCAGTATGCAGTCACTAATCAAATCGCACATGTCAGACCTGGAAAGAAGAACTATGTGTGCCCGTACAGTGGAATAAGACATTGTGAGTGCCTGTGTGTATGTTTAACGTCCACGCTCATAGCAGCCCCCAGCATCATCTTAAATCATGTGTATATAGCACATGTGTGACTTATGGATCCAAGTCCTCACAAACGTCTCAGCGAAAAATTTAGGAGCTGCACTTTTTTTCCTAACTGGCACACAGGGAGAAGTTTAATTTGTTAATCTTTTTTATTCGTGTTAATCGTTGTCCTTTAATCTTTCAAACTGGTCCTGAACAAGAGTTCCCACCTGCCCAAAGTTTCTCCCTAGATTCTGATTGCTTTGTGACTCAGTTTTCAGTCTGGTCCATGTTCGTGACCATCTTCATATAGATGATTTATGTATTCACTCATCTGTTTGTTTGTTTTTGCTCTCCTGCTGAAAATTCAACAATGAATCATTCAAACATGAAGATGTACCTACGGACGAAGCACTGCTGTGTCCATACTTATGAGACAACAAATGTGTCTTTTTATTAAAAAGCACTTTGTTATCAGCCACAAAGAACTTGTCACAAAGACACACGATTTGTTCCCATTTATTTGGTGCATCTACAAAAGATTGCAAAAATAACACTGTTTGACTGACAAGAAACTTTTTTTGAACCAACGAGACTATTTCCTAAGAGGTATAAACCTAAAATTCGGTATATCTCTGCATAGCGTGCAGTTTATTCTTAAAAGGAAAGTGGCCAAAGAGCCGAATTAAAATGGACTATGATAAATTATATAGGTCAAATAAAAGATCAATCATTCAATACTACACATGGGACCTGAGAGATAAAGTAGGGCCATTACATCTGAGGAAGCCTGTTTATTACTGGTTTCCATTGAAAAGAAACAGGAAAATATACTGAATGCCACACAACTTAACTGAAAATCACTAGAAACAAAGTATAGCTTTGAAATGTTTCCCTAAGGAAGACTGGGGATCTGTTCCTGAAGATTACGGTACATAAAAATAAAAAATATTTCTTTACGTGGTAATATACTTATCTACAGAACTGCGAAGTAACATTGTTTTAATTGCTGACATCTTGCTACGACAGGAAAGATATGGGTGTCGGGAGAGTAATTAAAAGAGCCACATACTATCAACAGCTCCTAGTGTTCTGAAAGTAAAGTCAATTAAAATTGCTGATAGATGCTGAGGCCATGATTACCTAGAATAAAAACAAGGGAAAAGATTTGTGATAAAATCAACAATATCTATTGTAATTCTCGGAAGCAGCTGTTAAAATGTCTGATTTCACTGTTGAATCAATGGGAAATTCATCTGCATGTTTAGAAAAGGCTTAGTGGTGATTGGCAAAGAGCTCAGCCAATCAACAGAGTTTAATCATCTATCTACGAGGCAGTTAGTAACGGATGTAAACCAGAAGGGTGTACAGCCCAATAAAGTCAGAGCAATGACCTATGAAAGCTTGTGGTGCAAAGATAAGATTGCAACATTATTAAATTCTTAATGGGCCGTGTGATCTTTCATTAAACAAATGACCAAGAGATTGCCCTAAAAAATAATGATTCCTGAATTAGTATTGATGACATTTCAGTAACTTTAGGCACATTTGAACTCATGGCAGCCAACAGGTACGATGCAATGATTGTTTCACTGTATACAAGTTCATAATAAAATGTATGCTGCTGATAAAAATGGGTTTGTGCGGGAAATTTTACACGCTCCTCTGTCACAGTGACAGGTAATGATTCATTATAGCGCAAACCCCCGCCTTTCAGTGTCAGTGCATCCATACCTGTGTGAAGCGCATGCATGTTTGGGTGCCTCCGTGTGATCGGGCAGGGCGGTATGACGGATGATCACGGCTGCACAGAGTCCTCTGGCTGCATCTCGCTGCTCCTCTCCTCCGTGGTCTGTGCCAATTAGTCTCGTTCTCCTGCAGGCAGGTCACCCCCCCCCCCCCCGACTCACAGATACTCAATATCTCCTTACATCACCAGCCATCCAGAAGAATATCGGCCTCAGCCATCTTGGATAGGCCGATGTCTTCCTAAAGCATGAATATAGCTTACTGTTTTGTTTTTCTAATTTTTTCTCATGTTTTCTATCCTGTGGCTTTATCTCCATCATTAGGCTCAGAAAAGAAAGAAGTGTTATTTGTAATACGAAGCATATTGTTAGCAACTATTATTCATGAAGTCTGCCATCCAAAGGTAATCTCAAGCACTTTCAAATGCCCTCCTTTATGTCACCTCAGCTCAGTAGATGCAGCAGTTTTTTTTTTTTGCTGTAATGACCATTTCCCCGCTGGCACATTATACTGGTGGCATATTTAAATAATGAGAGGCTTTTAACTTTTTTTTCCCGCAGCTTTACTGCTAGTGAAAGTTGGTTCTAGTTGCGGGCATTTTCAGTTGCTGTCGACGCTGTTAGCGGGGTTGTTTGTCAAATGAAGAACACAAGACATTCACAACAAGACGCAAATGAATGAATGCAGTGCAAGACCGAGAGACACAACATTCTGATATGTGGGTGAAAATGAATTAAATTGGATGCAAAATGTCCACAAAGAGAAAACGGGTGGCCAAAAATATATGGAAAATAGTTACAAAAGAACATTAGATATACCAAATGATCGCACAAAAGTACTGCTTGAAAAAGCAGACTTAATTACGTAAAATAAAAAAATAAAATAAAGTTTGAATAAGGTAGACATGACTAAGATATTCTAAGTTAACTCAAATAAAGACAAAGAGCCCGCATGAGCACAAAGTACAACCACAAAAAGATATGCGTGGGTTGGCAGTTTTTTGCCCAAGATGTACTTGTATTGAAATAAAAATGTGAATAATGACATCACAGGTTAACATAAAGTCAACAATGAGATGAAAATTGGTAATGTAATACCATGGTAATAGCACCTAATAACTACAGTACATATTACTGCCCCCTGCATTATCATCCCCTTCCTGGAGAAGGCAAAATAATATAATCCAGACACAAACATTATATATATTTGAGAACTAATGGAACTAATCTGAGCATTTTCAACAGCTGTGAATGTGTTTTGGAGGGAGACCACACCTTTTAAAGGACAACTCCAGTAGATTTGTGCGGCGGTTTGGCCACAAAATCCTTCAGTTATTCGCTGTGATTTAGTGAGGTTGACAGTGTTTATGGAGGGCAGGTATTGATCCGTGTGGTTTTGTTCAGGTGCTGTATCTGCTGGGGGCGATGTCTCTGTCCATGGCTTTGCAACTGGACCGTCACGGTCTGTGGAACCTGCTGGGACCCAGCCTGTTCGCTCTAGGCATCATGGCTGTAGCATGGGTAAGAGAAAGCTCTATTGTTCAATTTCTTTTTTGTCTTCTTTCTCTGGAAGTGAGAAAAATGTTTTCATTTAAAGTGTCTTTCGTACACATGTACCTACCAGGGTTATTTCATAACAGATTGAAACATACAGATGTTTCAGTATGAAGAAATACATATATACATTTGAATTTCGTAAAAAAAAACATGGTACCATAGCTACATATTCCTCTGTTTTCTGTAATGCAGCTCCCGTCACATCGCTGGTGTTTCTTTTCCTGCATACAGTTGACATTCTTGACAAAAATAAATGGCCATATTTGGGAAGAGATTACTGGTTCAAATTGTGGCTTTTTCAGTCTTATTAATAGGCCAATTTATGAATACTCACATTTCTATTTAGCTTCCATTTCCATCCAAGAGTACTGGATGTTAACAACCGATTAGTCCCAGAATGTAGAATTTAATATTAATTCATAAGGGTTGAATATATATACAGAGATATATACAAATTCTATTAAAATTTTAATATGTAAAATATATATATATATATATATATATATATATAATATTTGGCTTTAAAAAAAAACATAATTTAATCACATGAATTAATTGGTTAAGTAAGACTTCAGTATTGGATGTCCAGAAAGGCCCACTCACAGAGACATTAATGCTTTTTTTAATGAATTAATTCAGGTCAAGCCTGTTAATAATGTCCAGACAAAGCATGTTTGCATTGTTGCTTTTTTCACATGTAAAAGCATTTAATTTGTTATTAAAAGACCACTGGAACATGTGGGTGGCCAAAAACTATGGGTTTCTGACCAATGGAGCTATTTAACATTAGCATACAGGAGCCTTGAAAAGATTTTCAGCTTTTTGGGTATTAGTCATGGGTTGTAGTTCCATTATAAAACCGCTTGTACTTTCAGTGACTCTTTGAATCGTAATTTGCTCCCTGAACTGTGAAGATAAAAAATAATAGTCTTTTAGACAAGGTTCTTGGAAAAAATAGAGCCTTTAATGCAAAACTCTCACATGAATGTGGAAACAATGTTGGTGGTCTTCTTGGAGAACTCTTTGTGTTAATTAATGTCTGAGAGTTTCACCTGTCAGTTATCTTTCTGTGAGTTGGAAGAAAAATGGAAAGAGGAATTTTTGCTTAGTGGAGGTAAAAAAATAAATATATATATATATATATGTGTGTGTTGTTTAAGTGTAACAACTAACTATTGCTGGAAGACAAAACTCTACACAGCAACTTTTCCATTACAAAATAACCCCCAAACTTTTGCTAATGTTACAGTTTTTAAAGATAAACCTGGGCTCGTGCTTTGATTACTTGAAAGTTAATAATTCATGAGCTGTTCACCACAGTATGTCTGCGTTTCAGCAGTCTTTCTTCGGTGCTGCGCCTCCTCCTTTGAGCAGCACATATTTCGACAAGAGCCCTTTCATTTCAGCTTGTCATGCTTCTGCAAAGCTTGGCATTCTGACTGTTCCCAGACACAACTGAATTAGATCAGTGGAGCACAGGGCACAGAGTGTCTGCTGCTGTGCAGGAGTGTCATTAGCGATGCGCGGAAGGGGAAAGTTTCAAATCACTCAATGCCAAATATCCCTAATATACCAAACTAAATGAGGTCCATGACTCCAGCCTGACAATATCACCCTTGTCTGGAAGTGTTTGCTTTAGCCTGAATAATATGCAGTTCCAAAAGTACTTGCAAAAACGAATGACAATTATCTCCAGTAATTCATTTATTGAATCCGAAATGATTTAATTATCAACATTTCTTATGTATGTGTAATTATCTTTGCCGCTCATGAACAGTTTATGTTCCCTAATTTGATTGGTGGCATTTTGTGAGGGGAATAATTGCATACAGTCACTATTTATGAACAACTGGAAAAAAGACTAGATTGAATAAAGTGTTTTTGTGTTTTTATGCTGTGTTTCTGGGACGCTTAAGGGAGAGAAGGAGCAAATTCTTTCGACTCAGCAAATGGAGATATCATATCCACTTACTGCCAAACAAAACACAAGCAGAGATGACAAAATAGATAAAGCAGTGACTGCCAGACACTAATTAATCTGCTGATTAGCGAAATGGATTTTTTTTTTTGCTGAAGCATTAGGTGTGAATACAAATTCCAGACGATAAAACAAACAGGGGTATATATCCAGCAGTTAGAGTTTCTGCTAATCCTTCAGTTCAATCTTACTGGTCCTGAAAATCTTAATGACTCTATTAGCTTTAGCTCCAGTGATATATATATCCACATAGAATAAGGTATATTTATGAAATTTGGTGAAAACCCGTAATGTTGTTTTTTCTGATTTCTTTTATTTATTTTTTTACTTGGATGTGTCACAGTATATAACTATATATTGTTAGGTATTCCTGTGGAACAGCTTGAAAATCCTAATTTGTAGTTCAGGCTTTTCTTTATGCACCCTGTAGGACATTCTTAAAATGCCACTCTTAGATAAAAAAAAGAAAACAAAATCTGGGTATTTAAACTCACTCTCATCCATCATATCCTCACTGGAGCCGCTTTGGCCAACTCTCAAAAGCTTGCACAATGCAAAACGAGTTAAATACAATAGCTGTTAGCTTTGAAAGGACTTTTAAGAATCAAAATTCATTCTCTGCTTTTGAGGAGCTGAAAACCTCACTTTACATCAGTTTTATGGCTGCTTTAAATTTTTTACCTCTCCATGTGCGTACTGGAAGACCTCTTAACACACATCTCAGTCCATTCATCCATCCATCCATCCATCCATCCATCCATTTTCTGAACCGCTTATTCCCAAATGGTCACGGGTATCTCAGTCCATTTCCTTCCAATACATAATTTGGCAAACAAACCTGGAAGCTACCCATTTAAAATAAAACCTTCAAAGATGAATCTGAAAATGACACCTCATAAAGAATAGAGGTTAGAACTCAGGGGGTGAGGACAGACTCTGTGAAGGCACGCCGAAACCTTTAAGGTGTCTTTTTCATGTCTGAACGTTCGGTAGCGATATTAAAAAAGCGTTTTTCTCTCGTTTCCGATGTCCCGTCAGACGGTGCGCACCATCCGCCGCAGACGCTGCTACCCGCCTACCTGGAAGCGCTGGGCGTTCTTCCTCTTCCCGGGCACCATGATCGCCACCTCGGCCGTGGCGCTGTACGCCTTCGTGGAGACGGAGGAGAACTACTTTTACATCCACAGCATCTGGCACATGCTGATCGCCGGGAGCGTGGGCTTCCTGCTGCCGCCCCGCGCCAAGCCCGACGCCAAAGTCACCCCGCTCAAGCGCAAGCGGGGCTGCGGCTACCAGCTCTGCGTGAACGAGCACGAGGAGCTGGGCCTGGTGGACCCGGCCATCATCTCCATCAACAGCATCTGCACCAGCTGATAAGGTTTCCCCCCCCCCCCCCCCCCCCC